GCCTGTCCAACCTCTCGTGGGTTTTCTCCGGGTCCCCCGGTTTCCTCAAACAGCTAAAGACCCCTGGTACGCGCAAGCGAATTATGGAAATAAAATTGAACCATATGTTAGTCCCGAAATGAGCTAGTTTGTGTCGAGTGGACGTTAACCCCCCCCCCCTCTCTCTCTCTCTCTCTCTCTTATCTGTTTTAAACTATTATATTTAAACTGTCAGCTCTTTATCTAAATCTTACATAATGCTTTTTAATTCGATAGCAGACACATATTTTATGCCGTGTTATTGAATTAATAACTGTCTAAATAATATTATATAATAGTAGTTTTATTTTTGTTGAAGGTTTCATTAGGAATTATGCTACAAAGAAAATTAGTGGATCACCATGCCAGTCTTAGCGCAAGTTTTAAATTTCTTCAAGGCAAAGTTTACGCCACTGAATAACTATGCAAACCGCCATAACCAATGGATATTGTGGACCGAGTTATTTTTGGGTATGTCCTGCAGCCTCCTTCCATAATTCCATCCCGTGTTAGCACAATAGCCGGTTAAAATCAATCCGATTAAAACACAGATACTATTTCGTTTCGATTTTTTATAGTTCAAAATTTCGTTTTACTTGTCTTTACTACACTAGGATCAATCTGTTTTACAGAGTATTACGAAAGTCTTCTAATATCTCTGTAAAAAATGACTGCCTTCAACACATGACGTCATATCACGCGGCGTCAATCATTGGCTGGCGCGTGCATTGTTTACATAAAACGTTACTGGTTTGAGCAGAATGGCGCGTTTTACTCATTTTAATACCAATTTACACTAACAAAGGAAATAACCTTTACCTACAAATACTTCAAACGTCTTTATTTATTTTTTTAATACATAAAAAAATATGTTTTAGAATTTAATTTGTCGGAGGAAAAAAGTTAATTTGTTAATAATAATAATAACAGTTTATTCACAACTACATGTTCAAGCATGAGTATGGAAGTTACAACAAACATTTCACATTGTGAGGCATAACAATATCTAACTACATGTCTTACAAAATAACATAAATTTTTAATATGATGTACGGTAGAGAACCTCCTAGCGTCTTGGTTACCAAGACGTCTAAAATGTACCAGTTTTTGATGTCCGAGACTACAAATCATAACACTTTTAGTTCTTTAATTTCAAAGATAACTGACATATATTCATTGTTTTTTTTTGTTTTTTGTTTTTTATTTGTACATAACTAGTGAATAACATATTAGAAATTATTATAATTGCATTTAGGTACCCAAACGTGTAATATTTATGTAAATAGTTGATAAACATTTACACTATAAAACACGTGCTTTGTTTTCCTGAAAGACTGGCGTTAAAAGAAGAATTACCATGGTTCGCAGCATAACCGTAGCGTAATAATGAATAGGTGAAAGTTCTTTGGCTAGAAGAACACCTCCATTTGGGCTTAAGAAAATAACATTGTTGTTGGATGATACCATCTTGTCGTTCTTTGTAACACCCCCGCTAATCCCGTGAGTAGTAGTTAATTAACTGGACCCCCACAGATCAGGTAAAAAGAAATGTAAAAATAACAATCAACCCGGGATTATCTGTTAATTAATCTTTTGTTTTATTAAACGACTATCCTGATCATTGTTTTCACGCGTAACGACACATTATTTGATACTGATTGCATAAAATAAAAGTACCGAGTTTTGTCACGATCATCTAGTATCTCTCTTAGCGCCTCCTATAATATTACATACAGAGTTACACCCCCTGTAAATAGGTGATAAAATTAGCGATGTTTTTTTATTCGTGTGCTTTTTTGATAAAATAAAATTAATTCATCGATTTTATTCACAAAAATGGATAAATATTATCGAATGCATCACAATGGTAGACAGTAGTATCGAATGCATCACAATGGTAGACAGTAGTATCGAAGGTTGGTACAAAATGACAAGTTTACAGAAGTTATGTCCGAGATTTGAGTAAAGAATTTTCGTTCGGTGCAAGATTCAGCGACGGTCAAATTTACCGCTTCCAATGCATTCAAGCGTAATATTTAATTTGTCAGCACAAAAAGCAGCAAGATTTTATTAAGAGGCCACTCCCGTTAAGTTATGTCCAAGATTTGAGTAAAGAATTTTCGTTCGGCGCAAGATTCAGCGACGGCCAAATTTACCGCTTCCAATGCATTCAAGCGTAATATTTAATTTATGTCAGCACAAAAGCAACGAGATTTTATTAAGAGGCCACTCCTGTTAAGCGGTCAGTTGTGAAAATTCCCTTGGGTGGCTGCTTAATGCAGATTCTACTGTAATGGCAGTATTTGACAGCAATTAAAAAGTCCAACGAAAACGAGTTTTCTTATACGTTTCCAATCATTTTCCAAGTGTATCAAACATTTCACATTATGATGCATAACAATATTTAACAACATATCTTACAAAATAACATTAATTTTCAAGACTTGTGGTTCATATTAATCTAATCGTCAATATTTAATGTTACATATCAATTTAAAAAAAAAAAAAAAAAAAAAAAAAATTTATATTCCTCTTTTCTTAAAGGCATTTAATAACAAAACTTCCAACATTTTCTATACATTCTTCATTATTCATAAATATATTAGATGTAGAGAAACGAAATCTTCCGAGGTTTGCCGAGTGGAAAAGTTGTTGTCATTGACGTGTACTGGATGATATGAGGGATTAGCCAATGAAACGGTCTGTTACGGCGAGCTTTTGGGGTGAGGTGCACGGAACTGTGGGTAATCCACTAGATACATCAATGCTGGCGTCATAGGGTCAAAAGCCGCTCGTATGACCTCTGACGCGACCTCCCAAAACAACTGGTCAGATCTCCATGTAGTGTAGGCCATCGAAAGTATAAAAAAAAAACGAAACGAAATATAGATCTGTATTTTAATTAGATTGGGTTAAAATTTGTATGCAGTCCATTTGCTGATTACACTATTTAGCACGAAACGACTTACATGTAAATTAACGCCAACCCAGCAACTATTGTCCGTTTAGGCTCTTCCAAATAACTTGGCCAAACATGGTTGTTTTCAGTACCAAGATGACAAACCACGATTTTTCAAGGGAGAAAAGATATAGCTTGATCTGAACTTTAAAATAGTTCTCATAAGACAGAAATAAAATAAAACCAAGGACGAACAATCCAAACCATAAGACAGAATTCGAAGTCCTATGGGATGACCATTCCGGGTATTTCACAAAGTGAAGAAATGGCAAGCAATTTTCGAGTTGTGGTATCACCTGGATCAGACTGTATACTACATTAGGTGAAATGAAATGAAATGGAGTTTAACGTCCTACTGTTCTGCTCCTAACCTGGGCTAATGAAGACGGGCATACGCCATACAGTGTGCTATGAGGGAAATTTTGCCCGGACAGCGGCACTACGGCCTACTCTTATATCGAATTCCAATTGCCAAGGGATCTTTTACGTGCACGCCAATGTGTACACGGGACCTCGGTTTTTCGTCCCATCCGAACGACTAGAAAGCTTTCCTTGTCAGCCCCTCCGTCCTGCATCACTGACAAGGGAGAACCACGCCGGAAAATCTGGATGAACTTTCTCGGTCAATGCAGGGATCGAACTCCCAACCTCCAGGCTAGCGAGCTAGCGTCTTACCCACGTGATCCCCCACTACATTAGGTAATATTTACATGATACCGGTATATAAAAAAAATTCTTTCTCTTTTTAAAAATTAGTAGGGACTATCTGAAGATAACCTAAGCTATTCTAAAATATTGAAATGCTAATCCGTAAGTACTTGTTCTAAATTGAGTGGGTTTGTCTTATTTTTTTTCCAATTAGTGCTATAGTTAGAAAAACCATAAATCATGATGTTGAGATAACATCCCTAGTTTGTAACAAATTAATGAGTATAAAATCACGATTCTCAATCTCAGTAGAAAACATAATAGAGCAACATTCAGCTTCGATAGTGTATGATATCCAAATAAGGTAAACAAATAATTACATCTCAATTTTGTATCTTAAGTAAACAAATTTTATTAAATCATTTTGACGCACACGTGATTTAATCGTCACGATGGATATGATGTAACCTTCACCTGTGGAAATTATCTGACGTCACAGTTATAAATAGATAAAAATGTGACCGATTTTGGTGGAATGAACTAGAACATTTCATTTTGTAAATAAAAAAAGCTACATGACAATTCTAGTTTTATCTACATGTTAATATGGGTTATTGATACAATAATGAGTCTTTCTGAACACAAAATCTCCCGCTTTTCTGTGCAATATCCCAGAAAGTTAGAAATAACCCTGAAATGTTTCGAAATTCTCCTAACCTAATATTTACAACCAAGCAGATCAAACCTGTTTGGATTGGATAAACTAGATGTGACGTCGTCAATGCACGTGATGTTATCCTGCCCGCATTGCAAAACCATAACAAACCAACGTTCGGTAAAGACTTCAAGAGGAGTACTGTACAACTTCCATTGAAAATCTTGAATAACCTTGGAGAAAAGTATAAATCAGATTACTAAATTAAAAAAATAACATATCGGAGAAACACTCTGTCCAAGTAAAAAGGTGAGTAGTCGGATATTTTGTTGGTTATACGACTTTTTCTAAATGTAAACAAAAGAAGGTTCTACAATGTCAGTGGATTTTGGTGGTTTCATAACTGGAGTGAAATTTGTATTAAAAATGTCTATGGGCATTCAATTGGGATTAATTTATGCCCACTTTGGTATTTCAAGACTAGAAAAGGGTCCAAGTCTTTGTTGACGTATAATCTTGTATTCAGCATTATTTGTACGAGTTGTTTGTGATTCAACTAGAATGACCTAGGTGACCTAGGCAGTGCTGTCAGCTATATCCGTGAACTCAGCTGAGTGATTCAAGCAGTCTGTCAGTTGAGTTGGGATGGATCACAACCCACATGGGTACATAATGACTTGGTGTGTTTAATACCGGTAGTACTGACTTTGGGTTTTTTATTTGTGAGGTTGTGCCAGTTTACATAAAACAAATTTTGGACAGGAATTGTAAATAACTCTATAGTCTATGGATAATAATACCCAGTTTCATTGGAATATTCTGTTGTTTTTGTGTCTGTTCCCTGTTGAGAGGAATTCACTTTGGAATATTTTATGGATAAGAAAAATCCACAACTGTCCCAATCGTGGTCTCCCTTTCATTGGAACATGGGCTGTTTGCCAAGGTAAGGTCTTTGACTAAGTAATGAACTTTACAACATACCGTAGTTTTTCAAGTGTTTAAAAGTTGGTGTGAAGTTGAACTTATAATCAGGAATAGAAGATACCTTTCTTATTTAACAGTATACAAAGTTTATCATGTTGAATGGTCATGGATAGGGACTTCACGTCAGTGGGCATAATATGTAGCTTTAAAAATCTTGACTAGGTTATAATTTGTAATGATTTTTAAAAAATAACTGAATTTAATTAGCAGGGTATGCTTACCATGTATTTGAAACACCTGGTAGTATGGTACCATTTTATTCATTCAGAAGTTCCATTTGTCAAACAGACTTTGTTTTAACAAACTGACTACTGGTTAGGATCATACAGGTATATAGTATATGTATGTACCAGTACTTCTTATCAGTGAATATATGATGTACGTACCTGTCTGAGGAGGTTTGGAGAATAAACTCTGGGTTTCTTGTAAAGTAATTTAAATGTTGCAATATTCCAAACATATATCTAATTATATAAAAAAAATGTATTTTCTTTTTAGACGAAGACCCACAGTAGGCAATTTTACAAGAAGAAATAGTACACCCCATATTCATCTGGGTGCAGCTGGACATACCCAGAGGGTTCCTACAACATCAGGTGTCCCCTTTCAGAGAATTAATTCATTCCCCATGACTGTTGATCATAAACGCCCAAGGGTAGGTACAATATCTTTGTAAATTTTATTTTGTGTCAAATTATTAAAGAAGCAGGACATCTTTGATTTGGGTCAAAATGAAATGTTATAATAAGTTGATCAAATGTTTTATTCTGATAAGCAATCAGGCAACTTCTATCAGTAACTTTTTTATCACTACTTACAGTAAAATGTTATTTTTAACATTGTCTGTCTGTGGACTTCAAATTTTAAATATGGAATAGTTTATTTATATATCTTGCATAATAAACGAACACATTACATTTATTCACTTAATCGAGGAGGTCATATCCTTTTTAAAAGACTTGTGTACATGTTGGAATTGAGGCTACTTCCTTGTCATCGGCATAGTTGTTAGCCAGAAAACGATATTGATTTTATTTCTTGTCTCCATAGTAGAAGTATAATTTGGTTAACAATGACTCATATAGATATGTCCATGTGTACTATACAAAATTATACTTCACTTTCAGAAGACCATCTTATTAACAATGTTGGATAAAATTTTGAGTCATCTACTATTAGTAATGCTTATGTCAATAGGAGTCAAGGCTTTTCTGTTAGCAAGAGACATTTTTAAAATAGCATTCATTCTTACATACATTTGCTTTCTCCTTTGAGATGTGTTAAAAGGAAAAACTTATCTATATATAGCTAGATCAGTTATCTTTGGTTATTATTTCAATAAAATTTAATTGAACTTTGAAAATAATTATTTTTATAGGTTATTTTACAACTTCTATAATTTCTCTTGTTTTAAACAAAAATTAATATTCATTGGATTAATTAAATTTCGCCGTAAATTAAAGCTACAAAGTTAAAATAAGTTTTTAAATACCTTCTTGAAAAGAAGTCTGCTTTATTCAATTCACAACTAAAGAATGAAGAAGAATCATTTATAACAGAACACTCTCTATATACTGTACATTCATCAATGAGATAAATATAGAGAAAGACAAATGGAAGATGCTACAAGATATATTTCTTTGTCTTATAATTGGAATACTGAGACACTTGTATTTCTCATTTATTAAATCAATCTTGCCTAATGGTGTCAGGCTGACAAAAAAGCCTTTCAGCAATAAGAAACCTTTTACTACGACAGCAACTATGAATGAACGCCCACACTTAACGTAATAGCTATGTTTTCACACTCATGACATAGTATTTTGTACTTCCATTGAGAATAACAACTTTTACCAACATATTTGTTTGTCAGGGATATGAATAAATAAAATCATGTAGGATGTTGTTTTGGGGTATTGATTAAGAATTATGGGAAAATACTGTATGACACCACAGCATATCATAATATAAATTCATTTGATCTCTGATCTTCAGAGGATAAGGTTCATCATGAATTTTTGGCATTCAATCTGGTATTGGAAGGTATGTAGTATCTTTAGGTACTGTACACATATAAGGATACAAATACAATACAGGCCTACATTGTAAACCTAATTTAATTTATTTTTGTCATCATGACTTGACTTTTAAATGTTTTCATGTTTGGATTGGATATTGGAAATTCTTAAATACTCATGTTTTAAATCTAAACTTTAAAGAAACAGTGATTGGAATAAAAAAATTTAAAATGGATCTTAGGTCTAAAGAATTTTATGATTGAAAGTAGGAAGTAACTTAGCAAGGAAGGGGTCATATCAATAAGTATATTGTGCATGTTCTAAAAATATCACAGTTTTGATAAACATGAACATATATATAGTCTACCTATTGAGTGTCATTGACATTAACATCATGTCTATAAATAGTATCACTACAAAATGACATTAACATTTTTACCGCTTATGACAAGGATATATATGGGGCATTATTAAAAGTTATTAATAGTTTAGTTAGTACCTGTACTTTCATTTTTGATTCAATTAGTTATATAAATCATTTCATATTTGTTCATTTTAATCATTTGGTGAACATGTTTGTGTAGGTGATTATTTTTGTAATGATGACAAGGCATTTTGATGTAGTTCTGAGAAGTCTGTGTGTTTATTTTGTTGTGGTTTTTATCATTTCAGGCCAAGTTTAGTGGTAATATGGACTCGTTCAATCCAGACTTTCATTTTTCACCAGGAGGTGACCATGTTTTACCTAACAGTGATTTAACAATGTATGCTGCTAGCCCAAACTCCCTTCATATGTACGACCAGGAAAAATATGATATGCAGAATTATGTCAACTGTTTGAGTTCAAACACAAGAACACTTCAAAAACGTGACAGTGGTTCAACTTTTGATGAATTTGATTTAAACCCACAGTTCGAGAATAACTATGACATGTTACCTAATCTGGTGATGGACAACAGTGATCTCCAGCCAGTCTCAGATTTTTCAAGTTATAATGTTCAGACAAGTACATGTATGAATTCAGATGTGACTTTGACAGAATTGAACTCAAACTGGAACAGTGAATCTGAATCTTTATTGGACGATCTTGAAACAATCATACCATCGTGTAAGACTGTGTCGTATTCAGATGGTATACAAACAAACACTATGAATCAAAATTCATTTAATATAACAGGTCAACGACAAAATAATACAAACTTTCCTTCAAATTCACAGAATGTGTCTCGTTCAAACTTTCAAGCGTTTATCAAATCAGAGCCAATGACAAGTTCATCATTATGGTCAAACCCATGTAAGCAGTCGGGCTCTCTTTCAACGCTGAACTCTAATTTTCGAAAAGAAACGCCTGTGCAGTTACCTCAGAGTACGAGTCGTAGCCCTCCAAGTGTGTATTACAACAGTCAGTCAGAGAGAGAAACGGTTCCTAAAGAGGATAATAAAATATTACTACAGAAATTATTAATGACAAATAGTCCTTCAGAAAGGCCACCAGTTAGTATTGCTAGTGTGATTGGTCTTAAAAGGCCAGCTTTACCTGTGAAAGAAGAAAATGAAGAATCGGTGGAAGAAAAATGGAAGGAAATTGAGAAATATATACATGATGAGGATAATGATACTAAACCAACTCAGGCTAAAAGAACTAGATTTGGTGAGTAACTTAGTAGTAATTAGTAGTAAGGTCTCAGATATGTAATTGTTTTAAGGGTGGCTAAAGTGCTTTTTGTGGGCAGGGAGGGGTACTGAATTTATAAATCAAATCCCTGATCTTAAATCTATGCTATTCCACAAAGAAAACGTGTATAGGGTAATAAGTAATCACTAATAATATATGATTCTGAAACAGGAAACAAACCGGTTTGTTTTTTTTCCATATGGATAAATTTTTATAAAGTCAGTCAACAAGATCTGATTTAACTGGACTGAAATGCGATCACATGACACATGACCTATTTTATACATCAGCTGTGAAATATTAGGCCATGTTCCATCTCTTTATATCAGTCACACATAACTTAACATTGTAAATTTACATGACAGTGTGTGGTATATCACAGAATATTCCCCTCACTAGTGTTATTTTCCAAGGAGTTATTATATGAATATCTCATTTCCATTCAATATCTTTAATACATGTACATGCATATAATGGATAACAAAATGTTATGGCCAACTATTAACATTGGTAGGTATAATTTTAACCACAAGAATTGTTATTTTAATGTTAGTTGTACCGAAACACATGAATGAATGAATTTTATATTATTTATTAATTTAAAAAAAAAAAAAAAAAAAAAAAAATTCATCAGAGTCAGTAATTCATGACCAAAAGATTAAGACAATAGTGTTAAGATATAATACACATATTATTTCAGACATTCATTAAAATGTAATCTCTTTGAATTTACATTATATAATATAATAATATACATGTAGTTTAGAAAAGTTGACTTGTATCCATACATAAGCTTGTCCAAATCATTTGAATGTCAAGGTCAAATTGACATCTATGCACTGGAAGCTTCCACACCAAAAGAAAAGTATTGAAATTGGCAATATGCCAGATTTTCTGGGTGTTGTGTGTATAGTTTGGTGAAGTTGAACCTTAAGCTTATTTTCAAAAACATAAAAAACAAGGATATCAAAATTATATTTAAAAACAAAATATGACCTACAGGTCAACAAAGTGGTAAACAACTTTGTATCAGGTGAAGGCAAATTTAGACTGGATAATTATTTTTGTGTATAGTATTAAAAAAAATAAATACCCAATTGCAAGTAGGAAATAAAATTTATACCCTATATTAACTGATTTCTAGGAACTGGTTCTTTCTACATGTACATGTAATTCCCAAAGAATGTTGTAAACATGTACATGAAGAAGGATAATCCTGTTCATATTTAAAATATTGACCTTCCCTGAAATGATACTGTAAAGCACATGACATGAGACTTTACATACAATTGAATTATGTTGGGTATGAGGTCATTCAAGATAAAGGATGGGCCTGGAGTAGTAGGCTATATAAACTTGTTAATAAGTGATTTTGCCTTTCGGCTCTTAACCTTAAAATGAATGCAATATATCATTGTAATGGATGGAGAGAACATCTTGAGCCAGAAAAAATATCATCCTTTATTCAAGGTACTGGTACATGTACATAATGACAAACTTTCAAACAATCTGTGTTATTGAAAGACAACAAAAACCCCAAAAAACAGAAATGCCATAAGGCATTGTGTAGGTCTCTTGTCTGTGATATCACCCAAAGTGGAAGTGGACGTAAAACCAAACAAATGAACGTATACGTCTTATGTACATGAATTGAATTGCATATTGATCAGATTTTCAGTGGTCTTGCATATTGATGATAATTTTAATACAAGTTTAACATAATTGAAATTTTTAAAAAGTTATCTTTATTAATGTACACACGAGTACTATAACACATTGAATAATTTATAAAGTTATTAATACAATAAAATTAAAATATCAGATAATTTTATTACACATTATTTAAGTTTATAATATCACAATTTGATAAAAAAAAAAAAAAATATGCTAAAGAAGATCTAACCTTAAATTGTTATATGACTCACAAATTTTTTGTATTACACCTAGCTTATAAAACAACAAAATGATTGGGGTTTATTTCACACAAGAAGTTCCTTGAATTCCATTAGAGATCTTCATCTTTCTTTTTTTTTTACTTCAGATTCTGGTAGTTCTGTGGCGGCATCCTTTGATGAAGAATCTATTGATGATGATGAAAGTAGTGATGAAGACTGGTCAGACACAGGTAATTAATACAAATTGCTAATGATGCAATTTTTATACGTCCAGCGTCCACAAGCTCTAGATGCTAAAGTTAATATCCAATTGACTCTAAATTTATACACAGTGCGTAATGTCATCAGACGAAGAAGCCTATTGATTTTCACCGATTTCCAATAATTACTGCCCGAGTTATGGCCCTTGATCACTTTGAAAAATCTTGTGGATACTTTACAGACTATACGTGTAGTTGTCATCTGATTGATTTTATATCTATAGACTGTGTTTACGCCTATATATAATCGTTTCGATTGACTTTAGATTGATACGCAGAGTTTATAAGGTCTTGAGACGAATAAGTATATTGATTTTCAATGATTTTTGGTAACTTGAATAGCTAAATCCATGATATTAAATGGTTTGTATACTAAACGTTAGCATGATGATTTTCTGATAATTACTTACTGATTTGTTACTCTTCATAAGAATTTAGTGTATTGTAAATGTTTCATTAACAAAAAAAGTACAAATACATGTATGCTACAACTCTCGTTGACTGCCCGGCTGATTTAGTTGCTGTGAGCGTATGTTTCGTTGCCTGGCAACCTATCTTTATAATTCTTACTAAAAGACCACCCCAAAAAAATGTCAAAATAAAAATATTAGAAGTAATTAATCAATAGTCCTTAAATTGTTCTAAACATTTTGAATATTTTATTTTTCAGAAATGGACTTTCCTAGTGGTGCTTCAGTTTTGGATGATGGTAAGAAAGGAGAAAAATATTTTTGGCAGTACAATGTCCAGTCAAAAGGTCCAAAGGGAACAAAACTGAAGTTGCATTTAGATAACAAAAATCCATATAAACTTCCTGGTTTTGAAGATCCTGTTTTCGATCCACAAAATACCAAAGCTGGTATCCGACATGGAGGCAAGGCTAGAAAAGGTGATGGAAATGATATCGTCCCGTCACCTAAGAAACTGTTTAATCTTGGTCAACAGATTAGGAAGCTGAATCATATGATTAATGAAGTATCTCCATCTAATGATCAACCAGCATCTATTAGAAATGAGTCAAGAAAAAAGAAAAATAAACTGGCATCAAGGTATTTAATTTAGTCTTATTTGCATGTATTGATGTGTACTACATGTACTGAGTACTGATCATTAAGAATCATGTGACTCTATCTACAAAGCTGTTTTGAGACTATTGCCATTGAGTGAAACCTGTATCATTAGAGGCTCATGACTGTATAATAGCACAGCGGATGCTTACAGTTGGCCCCCCACATCCATTAACTTAATTTGATATTTGTTGTTTGTTTCTTTCATTGTCTTATGTAGTTTGTCTAGACCGCAGGGCAGTTTGCAGTTGATATGCAAATCATATGTGTGACATTGAAAACATCAGTTCATTTGATAGCATCCACTAATATGGTATCTGGTGGAATAGATTATTTTTTGGGAAGCCTATGTATCATTTATTTATTGAATCATTACTTTATTGCAGAGCTTGTAGATTGAAGAAAAAGGCACAACATGAGGCAAATAAAGTGAAATTATATGGCCTGGAGAAAGAGCATAGTCAATTGTTACAAGTTATTACCACCATCAGAAGTTCAGTTATTAAACGAGCCAGACAAATGCAGGAACTGAAAGATACAGACCATGACAAACTTATTAATAAGTTGGATGAATTAATCGCCAAAAATTTAAGTAAGTTCAGCACATATAAATTTCAAAAATTCTTGTTAGTAAATAAGTTGATGCATTTGTAAGATATTTAATCTTCAAGATGAAATTATGATTAATTTACAAAATTCATCTTTTACTTTATTCTATCTTTATTGTTATTTCAGCTTTGAAGATAGCTGGAAATGCTGCCGAATTTGTGAATAGTGTGATAAAAGCAGTTGAAAATGGTGACGTGACAGGAGGAATTGTGATTGAGAAGAAAAAGAATTCAAAAACATAAACTGTTACCTTACAGATAAAAAAATCCTGAATCTCAAACTCTCAGTATTATTTACAATTATTTAAGCCAGTAACAGTGATGTGCAGATAATACAGTCAAATTGTAGCTAACTTAAAGCTTATAATTCTAGGTTCAAGTCTCAAAATTAGTTGATACCTTAATTTGGATTGATTATTAATAAAAAAAACCCAAAAAAAACTGTTTGCGCATGCTCAAGAAGTGATAATGTGAAGTGGAAATATGTTTCAAAATATTTTTTCATTGACATCATATATCCTTACAATCGATTGTCAGAAATCCGAAGATTGTCTGCGAAAGGTGGTGGGAATTTTATGCCATTTGTCTTTCAGTGAATGAGCGTTGTGAAGCTACTGTGCAAGGATTGCCTTAGCAATTTGTGTCCTTTTCATACACAATCATAAATCATTATTATGGATTATTATAATATACATTACCAATAAGTTTTAAAGACTTCCATCTGTTTTGTTAAGTGTTAAGATCATGTTAATTGTAGTTAAATCATTATGTAGATAGAATGAACTGTTATTTTTATTATTATTCCTTGGTTATGTTATATTTTATTATACGTTAATATTTTTAACCCACAGTGGTGCAATAACTAAATCGGTTTTTTGAAAATATGTTGAATTAACATGATTTGATTCATTTTATGTGTTGAAATATAAAATAAAAAGGCGACTTAACAAATTAAAGCCACTTATTGTCATTTGCATTTTTTGAACACTTTTAAAATAAAAATTTAAAGAGAGGTCTATCAAAAGATTTTACTTAGCACTGGCTTTTTTCATATCATCTGTAGAGAATGACAAAAAGTAGCAACTTATGTATATTGTGTATAGCAAGAGATTAATATCCCTCAAATGACAATCAATGGCTTTAAGATTTAGTAAAATAATCCAGAGAAAAAACTGTAAGTCTGTTACAATGCTATTGTGAGAAAGACAGCATTTCCGTATGAAACAGTGTATTGCATCATTGTTAGAATATTGAATTAATGTTAGCATGTAGACTAGTATATATAAACAGATTGTAAGCTTGTTGTTATTATAAAATGGTCATGTCACTATCTACATTACACAGACAAGTGACTCACTTTATTAATTATCTATGTAATATAAAACATGAACACTTTTACCTAACTACTCAAATGGATGCAAAAAAAAAAAAAAAAATGGAAAAAGTAGCATTTCACTTGTTTTCTTGCCATTAAAACACACTGAAGTAGTATATGTGCACTTGTGGTTGTCATGGGACATGTCCATTGATATGGTAGACTTGGATAATGTATATATTATTATATTTTGGAGATGTAGTAAATTATGATATATTGACGTACATGCATGCATTTTTGATGTTATGTTCATGGAATGAATAGATGTTGAATTTGTATATTCCACAATATTTGTACATATTGAAGAAAGTGTTCTGTGATCAAGTATTATCTGTAGTGACTATTTGTTAACTATTTTAAGATTTCTTTCGGTGTATTTCTTTGCTACATTTTTACATTTTACAGTGCTTAATCTACAATATCTTTAGTTGTATTTGGAAGTTGTATAGTTACAAAAGAGAAATTCATTTGCATCTTTGTTCTGATATTTTGATACCAGTATTTGTTTAGATGTACCTATAAATAGAAGAAGCCTCAAACATGTATAATGATTAATATTTCTACTTGATTTTATATTGATTATTATTTTGTCAATTTGTACTATACAATAACAACTCTCATTGTTTATTCAATATATACATGTACAGTTTATGAAAATAATTAAAACATAATTATACATTATCTATAATATTGCTGTAAGGAGAAAAGTGGTGATGTCTCGTTATGATGAAATGATAGAATATTGTCCAGGTATGAACGGGTCATGTGTAACTTTTCTTCTAATAATTCCTTTGTCCATTTGTTATAAACTAAAATAAAGTTGTTCTATATATATATATATATATATATAAAGAAAGGTTGTTCAAGTTGTTTATTGATTTACATCAATTCATTATGTTTTTGCTCTGAGAATTTCAAAATATAATTTAGACAATACAGGTATGGACGCAGTGGAAATGAGATACTGTCAGGGTAGTGACAAATCGTAATATGGGAGGCACTCATGGGGATTCAAAATCGGAAGAAGTCTTAAAAATGTGTTTTGGATTATTTTAATGCTGGAGATGCATATTATTGTCGAGGAACTACCCCTCACACACCCCACTCCAGACCCCCAGTGTTGATGGTCCTGAATGCTGGTTGAAACCTGGCTATTCAAATTTAGGACTTTTCATTCCCATATCCAACATTAAACCCATCCTACATTGAGTGGGTGGTGGTGTTAGTTCCAGTGCTTTAGAAATTCTATCATTCTTCTTAACCAGCCCTTACTTGAAACAGTTAGTGATGATGTATCTCTCCACATTCTTCGCCAGCCAAATCAGCCATGTCTGAGGTGGGAGGATAGAGTGAAAATAATGAATTACTCCTCGGAATGCTGAAGTTAAATAATTTCCTGGGATTCAAGGGCCAGTCGATTTTTTTGCTATAAATATGGATGAAATGAATACTTACAGTTTTTATATGCCTACATTTTCACGTGGACATATATTGCCATCGCCCCTTTCCTTTATCACGTCCACAAGTTGTTTTATGGACAGTCTACAGGTCACAATTTTTTATTCGATTTTGACGAAACTTGAAATATGGGTTTATCTCCCAAAGATATTGGTTCCTTCAAGTATCGAACCGTAACTTTATGGATTATGGCCCCTGATTGTACGAAAAATCACGTTTTTTAGCTTGTGGACACTCTATATAGTCACAATTTTTTTTATCCGATTTTGATGAAACTTGAAATGTATGTTTATAACCCAAAGATCTCGGTTCACGCTTTTAGCCTGTGGTACCTCTAGAGGTCACAATTTTTATCTGATTTAAAAAAAAAAAAAAACGTTTAAATATAAACATACATTATGCAAGAGGAAAATCTGCCTAGGCCTGAAATGTAATATGAACTATTAATTAGACATTTATTAACAAAACAAGACCATAATCAACTGTCGATGGCATCGGATACTTGAGATTTTAACTAGATTAGAACGGTTTCCCATTTAAAAATTTAATCTAAAAATGGAAAAGCGAGGCTAAGTCTCGAATATACCAGTGTCATGGTTACCACAATGCACACATCATGTCAAAACTACAAACAATGATAACTTGGCTCAGAATGAAGTAATCTGAATGAAACTTTCAATATTTTCATTTTACATTATATATTTTTGAGCTATTATAGCAAGAATGGTCAGCTCTTTATCTAAATCTTACATAATGTATCTTTAAATATATCACCATTGTTGAGTTCAGATTTTGTGAAAATCGGACCCAAACTACCGGACAAAATAGCCGGTCCTTGTACACAAAAAAGGTTGTGGACCCTGTAGAGGTCACAATTTTGATCCGATTTCAATGAAACTTAAAATATATGTTTCTATCCCAAATTAAGAAATGAGTTCCTTTTGATACTTAATTGTGGCACCTGATTATACGTAAAATCGCTTTTTTTTTAGCTTGTTCTCTGTCCATCTCTTGCAAAATGTGGGCATATCTTGCATGGCAACCCCTTGTTTAAAAAATTGCCAAACTTGGAAGCGGGTAAAATAATGATGGTAAACGTTTAACTACCGGTAAGCCATTTGGTGCGTATTCTGGAAGTTTTACAACAAACGGTCTGTAAACATAGGTTATGTGCAATTTGTTTAAACAAAAAAATAAAACGGGAAATTTTGCTTGCTGAATGTTTTTGCTATATAAGATAGGGACTTTTTGACAGATTTTAATAATCTTTTATTTTCTTTAAGATTCTTGAAAATTTCAATTTTTTTTATAGACTGTTTTTTATTTTGAAAATTATGATCAAGTTTCTTATAACAATTTCTTGTAATCAAAGTGTTTTCATCATGGTTGTTCTAATCAATGTTTTTAAATCTCTCATTGAGACCATATGGGAAAATGGTCTGTAATTAAGTTATCCAAGTTTCCTCTGCATGAGTTCTTTTTTGTGATCAATCTTGCCATTAGTGAGGTGTCCTGAGCCGGAAAGTTTTTGAATTACTTGTACTCTATATCCAAAGTCCTTACAGGGATTTTGCTTAAGATGTTGATATAATAGCAGTTTGTGTGCCTTTTCAGAATTTCCTGCAGATCTATGATTATTAAACCTTGTTTTACAAGATTTACTTGTTTCCCCAACATACTGTAATCTGTAAGATGGTGGTAGCAAGTTACTAATGGAGTTAGATAATCCTGACACCTTCTTAGCATACCTTAATAGGAATATTACTCAGTCCACCACATTGGCTGACATTGACATGTTTTATAATGTGACTATGAAAAACAATATTCATGTTTGTTGTTGACAGTTGTTTGTTGCCAAGTAATATCTTTATAAAAGAAATAAAACTTGGGTGAGGTCACTATCTCAAGCCAAGAATTTGGTATAAAGCTGCCAGAGCACCACCCAATTTACATCATGGAATTTTTCATTTTTAAAAGAAGTTACCACAGTCATTTTGATTGGTTTATTTCTTATTCTATTATAATTCATTAAAAAGATGAGGGACAATGACCCCCAAGTTACAAATAATCACATGCTGGCTTCTTTTTTGTACAAATAAAGGTCTACTTTGCATGACTGCTTAGACAAATGTACTCTGCATGGCTGCTCAGACAATCTTTGACATAACACCTACTGTTCTGTTTCATTTTTTAATTCAGTTATCTCAAAGACAAATCCTAAGCAAGGTGTTGATACCTTAATTATTACAGCATCTCATAATTACCAATATCACATATTAATATATGTTACAGAATGCGTATTCTACAAATCATATCCAAAATTTGATAATAAAGACACAAGTGTTTTTATCTCACTAGCACCCAAAATATGTTATAGAATGCATATCCAAAATGTGTATTATCTCATACAAAATTGAAAAAAAATATGGATAATTGAAATACATATCCAAAATTTAAATGAGTTTATAGAAAATTTACCAATTTAAGGATAATTGAAATTTTGACAAAGTGGTGTAAACAATTTTTTTATGAAATCATTTAAATTTTGGACAATAGCATAACAATGTTTCCTTGTCGGTCACCTTTGATTAGTAGGACTTTTTTTATGCTAGCTGTACTGTATTTAAATAAATTCACAATTTGAGGGATATACCAGCAAGAATATAGATTTTAATACATATTCTATTTAAATAACTATTTTATTCATTTAAATTTACAAAATTTATATAATAAATCAGCTTATATAAAATACATATTAAAGAATATGTCAGACATAATTACTACATCATAACATCAAATTAACATTTATATTATTTTGTGACTAACAAATTATTATTCAACATAAGTTAACTGGACAAATTTTTCAACAACCAATATTAATATGAGATGCCATGAGATTGCATCCTGTCGGCATTTGGTTTAACATCCACTCAACACAAACTTGGTCATTCTGGGACTACCATACAGTTAAATTTTATTTCATTAATTCGCTTGCGCATAGGGGTCTTTAGCAGTGGTAGGAAACCTGAGGACCAGGAGAAAACCTATGAGGTTGAACAGGCGACCCTACTCCTTGTCATGTGCAAGCAGAGGACCGAAATCACGCCACTTGACTCAATGACAGATCTTATGACCGTTTAACCATTCGGCCACCCAGCCCCCCAATTCAACATAGAGTTAGCAGGCCAGATTCACACATACGGTACACAATATTCTAGGGGTAGGAAGGCCATGATTAACTCTAATTCTCAACACAATACTTTTATATAGTTTGTATGAGAAAAAGGAGTGGTTCCTGAACATTATTTCCTCATTGCCATTATGTACTCTGTTACACATCCATGACATGTATGTAGTTCACTAACATTCTTAAATCTATTATAGGCTAACTTTTCTTTGAAACTGCATTATAATGCCCATCCTAATAAAATAAAAGGTTAATTGATTCATTGGTTATATCAAAATTGCATACTTTATTAGGTCAAGAATGTTCGAATCACCCGATAAAATTTGTTTTTCCAGAAATATGTTTAAATTGTTTACGCATGACACACCTTGCATAATTTATATAATCTTGAACTATTTAAACTTCATCATAATAATTGATGATACAACGGTACGTTGGGTGAATCATAATTTAGGACAAACAAACAAAATGTCGTGGGGACAGACACGAGGCGTCCTTGAATAATGGAATCGATGACTCATCATATAAGTCACACAATTTAACTTTATGGGGTCGATGTACACAGAATGAATAATTTTACAAATGGACCCGTGGTAGCGTAAACAACTTTACTCATTTTATCTCTGAATGAAATTTACTAGACGTTAATTGGTTCGTTTATAGGGCAAAAATTTCGTCATAAATCTTCTATCCAATCAGAACGGAGATGGCTCGTGCACTGCACCATGTTATTTAACCGAGTTTGACCTGTGCCAGGACGTAAACAAGGACAGTGTCAGATTACAGGAAAAGTTTTTTTTTACATCATGATCAATATTACTAGCTACCACTTAACACCAATTAAATTTACAATGCAATATTGCGTATTTGTGCTCTATAAATTACGTATACATTGACGAAAGACGATTACACGTTGTCATTGCATTGGCCATGATAAATATTGATTAGTAATAGTATATCCGTCACTTCCTAATTTACTAGCTCGAAATTAAGCTGCCTGATAAACAAAGCTTTAATTGCTTGCGTCATAATATAGTGGACCGCTGAATTTTAATTTTGTAGTGACGAATACAACTTACGGTACATCCATCTCTTTAAAATAAAAATAAATATAAAAAAAAATCGCCCCGCCCTGAACTTTGCAACCCTGAAATAATTGTGTACGTGTGTGTGTGTGTAGGGGGGGGGGGGCAGTGAGGCGTGCATGCGTGGCAAACCAATGGGTTTATTATGCAACATAGGGCACAGCAGGTGCCAGAATTACAATGACTGTAAATGTTTCGTTCCCTAGGAAGCCCAAGGCGCCATTAACATGCATCGTGGGATATAAAATATACGTTAGAGCAATTAAGTGTACCCCCATTTATGTATAATTCAGGGAAAGTTATTCTGTTTTGATATTTCAAATTCCCGACTCTTTTAACCCTTTTGCTACTGACGTTTCCAAATAGTCTTTCCACAACATTTAGTAATACTAATTGAAGCTATCGCAGGGAACAAACCCGAAAGGAAGTATCCGACCTCATCACCTAGTTTACCGGTCAATGAAGATGTGCTAAGAGGGAACTTTTTCCCCGACAGCAATTGAAATCTGTCAAGGGTTCTTTTACGTGCACACCAACGTGTAAACGGGACCTCGGTTTATCTTCTCACTCGAACGACTACGTACGATCCTTGCCAGACTGTCGCTGACAAGAAGGGGGGGGGGGGGGCACATCTGGAAATCACGTAGAATAGCGGGATTGAACCCAATTAAGGGCCTTGTCATGAAGCCACCGCGATTTTAAACACGGGGCCCTGTCTCACAAAACACGCGGTGTTGCCCACACAGACAGAATTATCATTTATCCATGACGATTAAAATGAGAGATATTGTTCTTGTACAACTTAATATTCTATGCCGAAGTTGTAAATTTATGTTAAAGATGCATTATGTAAGATTTAGACGAAGAGCTGAAAGTTCTCGCTATAATAGGTAGGCCTAATGAAAAGGGGATATGTTGAAAATGTCTGTCAAATTACTTCTTTCTGAGCGCAGTTATGAACGTTTGAAGAACAGAGTTGTCTCAGTTGTCATTGCTACCTTTGGTACGATAATAAACAAAGTATCGATTATCCATTTTTGAATTAAATTATTAAATGCCAATCGTGTTTAAATCCGTGGAAAATCAAAAACATCCAAAGATCTAGAGAGTGGATTATGGGATTGACATGTGAATAAATAATGTTAATTAACAATTTATAATATTTGACGCCAACAAATGACCTGCTTTGGGTAAATATTGCTCTGACTTGCTTTTGATTTCTTACCAGTACATGTAAGTCACATTTGAAACACGTATCGTTCCGGCAGAGAGATCTAAGACAAGAAAGAAACCCGAGAGAAGTCAGCTAAATAAATTTATTCTGACTATTTAAAGTTTTATATATAAAAATATAAATTCTTGTATAATAAAGGGCACGTTGATTGTGGCATGCGCATTTTATGTTCATATGTATAAACGACCAATAGTTATTTCAATTTTCCAAATGACCGGTCCACGCCGTATGGTGGCTGTTAGCGGCCATTCAAATGAATCTAAATCGTCGCCTTGTGAAGAAGGCGACAAGTCGACAAGTCGACGAAATCAACCCGCCGACACGACAAAATAACCCGACGATCGTCGCCTTCATTTTGTCGTGTCGGCGGGTTGATTTCGTCGACTTGTCGACTTGTCGTGCGGCGACTTGTCAAACTCGAGCATGCGCATTTGCTGATTGGATAACTGGCACGCGACAAGTCGACGAAATCAACCCGCCGACACGACAAAATGAAGGCGACGATCGTCGGGTTATTTTGTCGTGTCGGCGGGTTGATTTCGTCGTGCGGCGACCTATCGCCGTCGACTTATTCACAACCGCGACGAAATACAAAACAGAAGTTAATCTGTGCGCATGCAAGTTATCCAATCAGAATATGCGCATGCTCGAGTTTGACAAGTCGCCGCACGACAAGTCGACAAGTCGACGAAATCAACCCGCCGACACGACAAAATGAAGGCGACGAAACGGGTTATTTTGTCGTGTCGGCGGGTTGATTTCGTCGACTTGTCGCCTTCTTCACTAGTCGACGATTTAGATTCATTTGAATGGCCGCTAACAGCCACCATAACGCCGCGATCCTTTTTTTAAAATCCCACACCGTTCCCAAGTCCGCAGCACGGGCTATAGGCAAGTGTAATATTACGAGAACCTGAAGAATAGGTATATAACAAGTTTATAGAGAATTGCCAAGTAAATTGACGAAGATAATAATTATCCAATCGGTACGGAGTGCCAGACTTTAAAATTCGATGCTAATGTTATTTATTTTTCTATGGATCTTGGATTCTGCTAGCAGGTAGCGCGAATCACCATACATTTATGTACTGGCAATGTCAATATGTCCATGTCATCGAAAATCCGCTGATGTGTGTGAACAAAACAGACAGCAATATATGGGGGTCTAAATCCTGTTTTCCAAACTACATGATTAAATCGGGATTCACCATTTTCAACACACAGCATTTGCCATTAACAACCCTTTCTTTTTATTTTTTTTTATGAAAATGTGTGAATCTGTATCGTACAGCACGGGAACCTATATTTAGTAACCGCGGTCGATAATCTGCCAGCACGATCGGCGAACAACATGGTCTCTGCTCGCTTCTCACAGAATTTGATGATAACCTAGAATTCTCGAATAAATATGAGGTAAATACTTATTTATTCTTAAGATGTATGTTCTTTGACGACTGGTGCCTTTTTTGTGATGTCCGGGCCTGTCAATTTAGTTTTTATACAGGCAGCTGCAGTTCTACGTCATGACACACTCACACAGTGGAATATATGGCAACTACCAGGAATTTAATTGAAGACGTCATTTTTTATCTTTCAAATATTTCATTATGTCCGTATATATATATCGGATTCGCGCATGACCATTTCGTTTGAGTGTGTTATTTCTTAAATATTTGATTGGGAATTAAGAAATATTAACATCATTTATTTCCCCAGTTATCATGGTAAACGTCAAGGGTGTGCATTATGACCCGTTCGATTTTCATTCCCTGCATAAGTTATGATGATTTGTATGTCTGCCGGCACTCCACTTCAGCAACAGTTTGCTTGCGTCGCGGTGTTATACGGCATAACAGACTTCTATAATTGTAACACTATATTGATATTATATTGGATACAAAGTTACATTACATATTTACAATAACATATAGGGCGGAATAGCCCCCATTGGACAGAAGTTTAACAGGTTTATTAGATACAAGGTTTCTGGTTCGTACCCGTAGTGCACTCTGTGATCCATATGCGTCAGTATTTGATCCAGCAGCTACACAGATCTATAATCAGAAGTTCGGTTTTCATGTTAGTGATATTGTCCTTAGTCCTAGGATTTATGTCTAGCCCTCATGGGTGTAAATTTGAACTAAAAACCAATGTCCAATGTAGCTGTAGATTAAGTACAGCTGTCTTGTCAAAATTAATTGGCAATATGGTTTGTACAACAATTATAAATAATTACTTGTCTGCGATATCACCTCGGTGGAAGCGGACGTAAAATACAACTAACCCATCATCATATAAATAATTATGATTTTACATATTTTCGGGTAATGTTACATTGTATTGTCTGTAGTGTCAATTTCCTTCTTTTGTTCCATTTAGGAAATGAAATGGGGTTTAATGTCCTACTGTACTAGTAGTCTCGGCCAATGACGACGGGGCATAATACAGTGTGCTATGATGGGAATTTTGCCTGAATAGTGGCCCTTCGTTCAACTCTTATATCAAATTCCAACTGCTAAGGGATCTTTTACATACAAGTCAATGTTCACATGGGACTTTTGTTTTTCAGCCCATCTGAACGATTATATGTTGGTCCATGCCCCTTGTACAGTTGACAAGGGGAAGCACGACCAAAAATCCTGATGAACTTCCTCAGCCAACACCAGGATCAAAGTCTAACAAGGAATCCCCAGGTTAGTGAGTCTTACTGAGCCACCATGGATCCTAACCAGGAAGGCCCAGGATTAATACCTGTGTTGGCCGAGAGAGTTCCCCGGGGATTGACTGGAATGCTTTCCCCTTGTCAGTGGTGCAGGATTTAAGTCATGGCATGGAAAATCTAGTTTCACAGAGGTTCCATTTATATGTTGGAGTGCACAAAAATGTTGGAATTCAGAATTCAAAATCTCACCTTTGAACTAGGGAATATGCTTGCACAGCAGTTACTTCTGTAAAAAGCTTTATAATAATTCTAATTTTTAACTGATATATGAAAGTACTTTCACTACCTCCTAACTAGATGTATATTTGCCAGAGCAGAACAGTAGGACGTAAAAAGATGTATATTTACTCCTGGTGCAAATTTGTACACATGTGTAAATGCATTTGCATTACACGATTTGCAGGTGTGATTAATTGGAACACCTATGTAGATTTGCATGATATGTGTAAGATATGCATTTCAGGGTAGAAGTTATTTAAAGGTGCATTATGTAAGAGCTAAATCTCCCTATTTTTTCAAGTGAACATTAAACCCTCTCTCTCTTTCTTTCTCTTGCAGGTTCCTATCTTGGCTTCAAATGCTAAATAAACTATTATTTAGATGTAAATTCACATGACCAGCTTATAATCAACTCTCTAGAGTATCAGATAGTCGAGATTTAAACAAGATTTAATTTAAAAATGATGAATCAAAACTCAGTCTCCATTAACAAGTAGCATTGATACCATAATAAACAATCTATGCCACATCTTGTCAAAATTTCAAACAGTGATAACTTTGCTCAGAATAAAGTAATTCGAATGAAATTTTCGATGTATTCATTTTGCATTATTTTTTTAGGAACTATTATAGCAAGAATGGCCAACTCTTTATCTAAATCTTACATAATGCATCTTTAATAGAGAGATGGATTAGGTTGGTACCATTTTTGACTGGCAAAGACTTAAAGAGGTTAAAGGCAAATCCTTGAGGAATGTATTCTGGGGATGTCTTTTCTGTTTTAAATCTAAAAATATTACGAGTTTTGGCTAATAGGTCCCTTACAGAAATTTGAATGTGCTAAAAACAGGCCTGAACATAATTAGAATCTGTAACATTTGACCTCCTCTTCATCAAATTCCAACGGTCTAGGGTTATTTTAAGTGCAAGCAATCACATGCATGGGAACTCAGTTTCTCATCTAATGTGAACGGCTAGATGCTGTTCGTAACATTTAACCTCATCATCAAATTCCAACCGTTTAGGGTTATTTTACGTCCATCCAATCGCATGCACGGGAACTCAGTTTCTCATTTAATGTGAACGGCTTGATGCTGTTTGTTGCAAGGCCTTCCATCCTGAATCATTGACAGGGAGATACCACTCTTGAAAAACCAGAGTTACTTTCTGTTGTTGACTGAGAAGGTTCCCCAGGATTTTCCAGCGTTGTTTCCCCTTGTTGGTAGTGCAGGACTGACATGAAACGATGTCTAGTTAATTAGATGGGACGAAAAAGGAGGTCCAGTTTACTCCTCTGTGGGCACTTAAATGAACCATTGACTGTTGGAATTCAATTGCTATCTGGGTAAAATTTCCCTCATAGCACACTGCATGGTGTATGTCTATCTTTATCAGCTGGGTAGCAGCAGAAACGTAGTAATTTAAACCCCATTCCATTCATTCTAACGAGCAAAAGTATACAACCACTATAATAGGTTGATGTGTATACAAAGTTTCATAAATGTATCTTGGATGGTCTATGAGATATGCCCAAGAAATCAAATCAAAAAGATTTTATTTTATTATGTGGATAATAATCCATTATATAGATTTTAATATGTTTTTGACAGTTGACTGGCAAGGCCTAAATCAGGGTTCACCTTTAACAATTTTTTGTTTTTACTTGTTAAGGACAGATATGCAGAGCATAGATGATATAGAAATGGAAGAAGTAAAGCAAGAAAATTTAGCAGAAGTAGAAGGGAATCTAGACTTGTTTTTAAACTCTCAACAATGTGATCCAGTTGATGCTAATGATGAAGCAGAAGTCAACCTAATTATTAAGCAAGAAATAGAAGAAAGCATAGAATTAAAATGTCGCTGCTGTAAATTTGTTGCCTACTCATTTGAAAAGTTAGAAAAACATGAGAACGGTCATAGGTTAAGGGGAACGTTTTTAGAATGTGATTATTGTGATTTTTGTACAAATACGCGTGAGGTAATGATCCAGCATGTCACCAAACATACAGGTGAACGTCCATTCAAATGTCAGAAATGTGAGTTTAGTTCTCGCTGGAAACGTGATTTGATAAAACATCAAGTAAAACATTCTGATGAGAAGAAATTTATGTGTTCTCAGTGTGACTTCACCACCAAGTGGTACAACAATATCCGACATCATCAAATTACACATACCACCGAAAGACCTTTTACTTGCCATATCTGTGACATGAAATTTAAACGTAAAACTGGACTTGATTATCATCTGTATAGACATAATGACTACAAACCCAAAAAATGTTCAAAATGTGAATTCCGATGTAAAACTAACTTTGAGCTAAAGTATCATCAACATAAACACAGTGATATCAGAAATTATCCATGTACATTCCCTGGTTGTACACAGAAATGTAAAACAAAATCGGATTTAGTCAAACATTCCAAAATTCACACGAATATTCGCGATAAAATTTGTGAGATTTGTAATAAGGGATTTGTGACATTAGCCAATCTGTCTAAACACAAATTACGACACGTTACAGAGAGAAACTTTAAATGTGATCTATGTGGAAATAGATTTAAAACAAGAACATCGCTTCGTCATCATTTTCAAACACATAGTGATAACAAACCGTTTTCCTGTGACGTCTGTGGACATGAATTTAGAAATAGACACAATTTGAAAACTCATAAATTAACACATTCTGGTGACAGACAATATAAATGCCCTATTTGTCCGTATGCCGGTAAATTTCCATTCCATATATTTGCTCATATTGGTACATTTCATGGTGATCAGTTTGCATATTTTTGTGAAATTTGTCGAAAACCATTTAGTAGGTATAGTCAATTACAGACGCATTGCGGTAGAATGCATAAAGATAAGGATATGCTCAAATCTACGTATATTAAAACGGAGAATGATGAAATTGCAGAGGGTTCAGAAAACATGGTGAACAAAACCAAGAATAACATGGCTTGTAAAGATGATATAAATATCTTTTCTAAACAAATGGAGACATCAACCATCAAAACCAATTGTTATACAGATATGAATCAAACTACAACAGAATCCAAACTAGAGACAGACACACACTTTAATAATGAAGATCCAACAATTAAAACAGAAGAACCAAATGTCATTATTTACAATATAGGCCCATTCCGTCTTCCTTTGGCTTCAAAAGGTTTTAATTTTAATTTTGATAAAACTGGTAAGAAGCCAAAACACTGGTTCATGGAACCTCACAACATGTCCGATGAAAAAGCTGCAGAAAAACAGAGAGCTTATATCGAGAAGAAGGCAAGGAGTCTAGATAAATCAAGAGGAGCGACCATGAGGAAATTTGGTTGGAAGAAACCACCTTTCAAACCACGACAGACGTCAAACCCCAGATATCAAAAAGATCAAGAAAAGAGAGTGAAGTCCAAGGAAATAGGTCGAATTTTTGTCAAGCAAGATCCAGAACTCAGTGATTTGATAAATGTTGGTCGTAACAGCATTCGAAAGATTAAGATCTGTAAAAGAGCTGGACAGATGATGAAACAATGGAAAGAATTAGAGGTCAAGTTGGAGAAGATTGATGGTGAGGAGACCACTCCATATTCAGTCACAGTACCTTCAACTACCGATTCAGCTAAACCCGAAGAAGCTAAAATTGATATTAGTACCATCAATAAAGAACCTCATTTACCATTAGAACATTCAAATTCACCCCTTTTAAATTCCATAAACCAGTCACAACCTGCACAAAATAAACACAAAATCAAAAAGCGAAAATCAAAAATGAAAACTAATAACAGAGTGAAAAAGGCCAAAATAGCAGAGGTACTGAATGATGTTGGATTAGAGACAGAGATAAAAATTATTCCTGAAACAGACACTAAAGGTATTGTTGATAAAAAAGCAGAAGTAAGACCTCAAACAGAAGCAGAGAAAATATCTCTAACAAAGACATTAATAAGGTCATTTCAAAAGCCAGTAGATGCAGAATTCACTCTTCCTCAATCCAAGAAAGTCACTACCATTTCCAAAGAAGCTGAAATAAAGAAACAGAAAGTAAAAAGACCTGTCGGACGACCAAGGAAAAAATCACCACAGATTAAAAAAATAGCAGATCCTCAATCAAAACAAATCAAATCTGTTAATGATCTTTTGGTTTATCCTTTGCTGGATATTGAACCAACATCAACCACCATAGTTCCTAATAGTGAGATAGGCAAAGTGGATTCTTTAATTCATACTACAGAGAAGAAACAAATGGATAATCCCACATACCAGTCGGAACCAATGGATCAAACTCAACTAGAATTTAGCAAATCTGTACCGACAGAGGTTAGTTCAAGTGAAATTAAAAGTAAACCAACATCAATTCAAGCCACAGCTTCTCCTGCATCTACAGGTAGACTCACATTAGCCATCAATAAATTACTGGAAAAGAAAACCAAAGAGACTTCTGTTTCCCATACACATACCATTACTTCAATTAATGAAAAGGGTTCTCAGTCGGATGTTTCTTCTCCTGAATCCAAACACCAAAGAAAGTCGGAAAGTCCAAGGAAGATTGCCAAAAGATTAAAGAAAGCAGAATCCTATTGTTCAATGGACTTGGAAATTACAGACCCAGATGACATCCCTCTATCACATTGGAGGAAATGTAATGAACAACAATTACCTGAGCAGAAGAAAAGGGAATATGAATTTCAGGATGCAAAGAATGACAAGACTAATCAAAATATAAAACAATCTGTTGGTAGACCCAAGAAATCGGCAAACAAATTGGATAACCATGATGTAAATATAAAACCTTTCAAAGGTTATGTCCCGCTGAATATTCCTAATCCTACACTCAAAAAGACAGCAATGAAAATAAGAGACATGGAAAAAGCTAATTTAACAAATGAAAAAATCCTAGAAAATCTGCTTCGACAACCATTTAGACCCAAGAGAAACCTGACAGATTTGGATGTTTTGAGGCACAAAGATGAAGATCATGGATCAGATACCTCCAGAGACATTAGGACCGGTTTTGAACATAAACGTTCAAATCAGAAAATTAAAATAACAACACCAAAGACGTCAACTATTTCTGATTATAAATCAGTGTACAATTATGGTATAAAGAGCTTAAGAGAACTTTTATCCAACAGCCCGTCTGCTAAACCTGAACTAATCTTGAAAACCACAGATTTGGTTGGTCCTGAGCCTGATAGAAGTTTAAATCAACTTAATATCCATACAGTGGAAGAAAAAGAAGATATCCTCAAGATTCAGAAATGTTTACGAAATGAAAAATACAGATTAAAGAAAATAGCTCCAGAGTGTAGTCCTGTCAAATCTATGGAAAGGATGATCAATTTTGGAAAGAAACGGAAAGAGAAAACTATTTATACCATAAAGAATCTGGATTCCACTTCAGATAACTCAGATTGTCCAATACTCAAACGAGTTCTTCTAAGAAAACAGGAATCTGAATGTGAAAATGATGTTATTATAATTAATGATGAAGATTTAGTTGATAAACATCAGTCACCATGTTCCCCACACAGCCATCAGCTAGGCAATAACTATAAAGTAATAGTAAAAATTCCAAAACCTAAAGAAATTACGAAAGAAAGGAAGACTAAAAAGAAAAAAGTCTCGCCCATAATCAATAAACCAAAGAGGCAAGGAAAAATAAAGGTTTCTAGAATTCCAGAACCAGTCCCAGTCGTTTCTGTCCGTAATGGAGTATCCAACAAAAATAGTGAAGTTACTTCAAAGTTTCTGACCGTTGAACTGGATAAGCTGGGCACAACGATTAACAAGGAAGTGAAAAGAATAAAAAGGAAGTACATCAAACGCTCTGCATTCTGGGTAAATAGGAAATCTGTAAAGAAGAAAAGAAATAAACATGGCAAGAAACAAGAAAGGATTCCTAAAATAACCATTTCAACCATCAAACATCCCAAAATTAAGAAATCAAGGAAAAAAAGTGCTAATCCACATACAAAAGATGCTGCTCCTGTTTCAAGGGAATCTAACGACCAACCATCAACCACAGACATTAAAAAAGTTTTACAAAACTATATTACAAGCAGACGCAACATGTCTCTGAAAAAGAAGGCTGCTAAAAAGGGAAGAAAAGAAAAAGAACCTGCCAACAAGAAAAAATCTGTAACGGTTGTGAAAGATGCAAATAAAATGATTAAGACTAAAAATAAGGAAATCAAAAAATCAAAAAAGAATGAAGTGACAACCAAGACTCAAAACAAAGGCAATAAAACTAAACCCCGGAAAATGAATAATGTAAAACAGTCGAAAAATAAGAAATCTACCCAGGTTGAGATTTATGTTGATGTGGAGGAATCTGAATTGTTAGAAAAAGTTGCTGAAAGTTTGAAAACCCATACCTTTTCGGATCCTACATCAGCACACAATTTGGAAGAAGATGATTCAACCACAATTGATAACAAAGAGGATGGTGATATGATGGTGGAAAGTAACATTTTGATCGCTCCTGATGAAAAGTTTGAAATTCTCCTGAAAACTGAAGATATAAAAACAGAAATACCACTAATACCAGAATTTGCAATTAAGAATGAACCAGAAGATTCTGAAATACAAGACAAGATATGTATAAAACAAGAATCTAACTTTAAGATGGATACAGAATTTCCATACATAGCTTCCATTAAAGAAGAGACTATTGAGAATTATATAATTGACATCAATAATACCATTGACACTGATAAATTATAGATCATATCAAATATGAAAAAAGTATATTATTATCATATATTATTATCAATATGGACAACTACATGTATATTAAGGTATGAAAAATACTGTAAGTAGATATCTGAATATCTTATCCAAGCTTTGAATAAATAGTTTTATTTGAATCAGTTAAAGTATAAATTTAAGTAAATCTGAATGATTTATATTTTGAGTGTACTAGGCGTATACATTAATAAATTATGTTGTTGTGTTATAAATGTTTGTTCATCATTAAATGATGTCATTTCAAGGTAGAAATTTATCAATTGTTTATTTAGATATTGTTTTGTCTAATGAATAGATATATGTTTGTTAAATGTATGTGACAACCGTGATTGTTTAATTAATTTTATTGTTTTGTATCTCAGAATTATTGAGTGAAATAATTTTTTATTTGTTTTTTGGAAAGTATAATTTATTTATGAATGTTGAATAATATTGACCTAATTGTTGCAGCTCAAAATGAGATAGCTATAATATAGGGTTTTAGTTTGTGATTCAAATCCATATCAAAATGAGAAGTAGTCCATTTACTTGGACTGAAAGATTTAACTTTAAATATTGAACTGTTTGAAAGTAATAGCTGAAAGTTGTTACTGACTGGACACAAGAGACAGGTTTATCCAGGCACAAGATGATTGCTAGTAAAAAGCTTACAACAGGAGGTGGCATTTCTTTGAAAATGTACCCAGGAACCTTTTACACAGAATTAATCAGTTTTGTTCACTGAATTGTTCACTGCGATATGTTATTGACTATCCTGGTTCCTTGAAAAGTGATATAGTTTATCTCTGGACAGCCCAAAAATTGCCCTGTGTCCTGTGAATAGCTCCCAGTATTGTAGTACTGTATACTAGTTCTTGTGACCTCCCGGCTATTCACATGAGGCAGGCAGTTTATGGGGCTCTAAGAAACACTAGTATTGGGTGGTCCAAGTGCTAAAGGGTTAAAGGGATGCAGTTCTGTCATTAATGGAAGGATTATGTGAATGTATTTACTTTATTAAAGATGGGTTCCCAGAAAAGTATTTATCGGGTGGTTATTTCCAATAAAAGTATGGCAATTTTGGTATATATGGAAAGTAGAGATATCCAATCTTACTAGAAAAATAATGGATTCTCCGAAAAACACTCATGGAGCGTTTACAGGACAAAAATGTAAGGGTTCCCCTAATCAACAGCCCGACGATTAGGAAGTTCTGCACGCGTGATGTCAAAGGTCACAAGCGAACATATTGAGCGCTATGTACAAGTTGATAAACTTAATGAAGAGTTAGATGACGTATGTGGAAAAAGACGCGGTTAGTGGATAATCCGAGAATTTAATTAGGATTCGATATTTGTAATAAATAGTAAGCGATTAAAGACAACATCGTCTTATGTATGCAATGAATTCTCCTCTGACTCCCAAGACGTGACGTAAACATGACCTGGTTTGATCGAATTTTAATAGCAGGGCAAGGATTTGAAGCAAAATTATGACAAATTAATTAGTTTGAATATGTTTTTGGTCTATATATACCATTAAATCACCCAGTTTGTACGCGGGAACCCATCTTTAAACCATAATCTATATTATTATCAGTATTTATTAAAAAAGGTAATTAAATAGTAATATATATTAGCTAACAATAAGATATAAAATGTTCATAAAAAATAACTTTAAAACAGGTACTAGAACATGCAGTAGTCTTCTAATTTTTGAAGAGTATGCATAGCTGCTCAATTGCTTATCTTAGAAAGCGTTCCATACACCTTGCAACATTTTGTTTGATCTGTCCCACCTTTCGCAGAAAGAGGAATCCAAGTACCAGGAAAGATGATACTTGTTTGAAACAGATTATCACATTTATCATTATAAAAAACATTGGTAACTATTAGTTTTAAAATAGTGGTTGTGATTGACAAGATATGTGGATTTTTTTTTATTATGAAAATTGCAAATTTTAGCTAGCTAAATAATAGAAAGAATATAAATGGGCTTCTACTTCCTACTGATAGTTTCATCAAATGAATTGCTTTAGCTAAAGAATAAAGAACCTCCATACTTAGTCATATATTTATGGACTTAGATCATCATGTATGTGATTATTAAATAATGTACACTGTTTATTTGTTTCATATTGTGTAAGGCTATGTTTATTGTGATAAAATAATTTACTTAAATTTGACATAATTATTTATATATTTTATGTTGTTCTGTTATATTTTTTTCTGTTTATTTCCTTGTTAATAAAACAAATGAAAATTTTGAGTATAGTTTAGTGGATCAGCATAATATTGTTATGCATGTCTCCCCATGGGCTTCCATCCAACCTTGTGGGTTTTCTTCTGGTAGTCTGGTCTTCTCCCACTGCAAACCACGCCTACACAGGAGTGAATTATTGAAATAAAATTGAACCATATAATATTAATCCTGAAATGACCTAGTTTGTGTCAGTGGCTGTTAAACCTCATTTCTCTCTTTCTCTAAGCATAATGTTAACATTAGTAGTAGCCATTTCTAATTGCTAGTAGTGGAACAACTTCAAGGACTTTTTACTAAAATTTGTTTCAATGGCGCACAACTAACTTGTGACCTTGTGTCACACTAATGACACAATCCAACTTAAAAAGAAAATGAAGTTATCAGAAACTAATGACAAGCAGACTCACCAGGCGACAATGCAATAGTTTTTGTACATATGTATTGTAATTGTATGAACTACAGTCCAGCAATGTTTTGGAACTAATAAAATCAGGGTTGTGTACCATTATCAAAGCAAACTGACACGTGTAACCTGATAATTTCATCATTAAGTCACATCACAGTTTCATCACTCTCATTTACCAGTAGCATATCAGGTGGGGGTTGGGTGGTCAAACTCGTACGCTTTAGATCATAGGATCTACCATTGAGTCAAGACACAGGTATGGGTTTGATCCCAAGCTTGTATGGGACCTGGAGAGAGAGAGAGAGAGAGAAATGGGGTTTAACGTCCACTCGACACAAACTAGGTCATTTCGGGACTAAGGGACCTGGAGAAGGGTCGTCTCATTGGTTTTCCTCCCACTGCTATAAACCCCCCCACACGCAAGGGATATTGAAATAAAATTGTTCTGTATGTTAGTCCTGAAATGACCTAGTTTACTTTGAGTGTAAGTTAAACCCTATTTCTCACTCTCTCCCAGCTTAATGTTGATGTTAGCAGTAGTCATTTCTAATTGCTTGTAGTGGTCTTGCAGTACGACCTAATGCTATGTTTGAAATAGCCGTTGTCCTGTCACATGGATGGAAATGATTGATTAACCTACATGGCTAGACACACCATGCCCTGTCAATGTGATCTTATCCAGTGAACAAATTTTTAAGGTAGTTTACCAGAACAACTGAACACTTCTACAATAAACTGATTATATAAAACTATGTTACTGGCAATAAAAGGTAAATTTATTGATCTACAATAGTGTAAAAATAAATCTTTGATAAAAAAAAAAAATCAGCACAATACAACAGAATAACAATGTTCTATTATCTTATTTCTTGCTTTAAAATTTTCTAATCCTGTTGGACTCCGATTGCCAGTCCACATTCATGAACATTCATTTTTAGTCCAGAAACATGACGAGCACCATCGTTTATTTGATATTTTCACGAGCAAGCCAGTTGACTGTTAATCATCTTGACATGAAAATGATTCACTTAATAAAGTCAAACACTTTAAATGTATCAAGTGTTTATACACACTGTTCTTGCCTATAAAGGGAAACAACTCTCACAGAAACTTCTACATTGTTTCTCACCTGAACTTAACTTGCCATCACCATCTTAACCAAGATATTTTGAGCAAATATGCTGATACCACTGTTTATTTCGGGGAGTTGTTATCCATGTTGAAGATACAGTTTACTTTAGAGAGTTGTTACTCATGTTGATGTTACTATGGCAACATTTAAATAAATAACGCTTTTGTTCTTAAATCTTTCAATCATCCTCATCTTCTTTATAATTATCCGATGATAGACACCATGTTGTAAATAATATAGATAATAAAACTGCCGCTGCATACATGAGAGTGTAAAGATGATTAGTTTCTTTATTCAACTCAAAACCAATATACCTACAAATTATACAAATAATTCATATTGTTAAACCGTTTAAACAGCAGAAACATAGTGGCATGGTGAGTATGGTGCTAGTTCACTAACCAGTAGGTCAAAAGTTTGATTCCTGTATTGGATGACAAACGTTCATTGGCAGCATGTTAAAGATTCCCTGACATTTGGAAATCAAAATAAGAGTAAGCCATTATGCCGCTGTCCAAACCAATTTCCCCCATAGAACACTGCATGGTGTGTGCGTGTCTTCATTACCCCAACTGGTGCAAAGAAGTAAGCTTTTAAACACCATTTTAGCTATTAGTTCATTTCATACTTGGCACAAGCCATATTCGTCAGGTATAATTTTTGTAATGGCAAATTGCTGATTTGCAATAATCTGAAGCTGTAGATATCCTGATTAATTACTCAAGAGATGCACAATTTGACTGTGTAGACTTAAAAAAGAAATTTCATGCTCTGTGGTGTCTACAGAAATGAGAGATTGGTATTACCAAATGAATATTACCGTAACCTGGCATTCCTTGAAATAAAAGTATAATAACATGGATAATTATCTTTGAAATATATGAAATTATGTTGATATTATAGTACCGACTGATGTTTAATGTATGAAATCATGTTGTAACTTACCCCATTTTACAAGTAACTATAATATCAGTGAGACCATCATTATTAAAATCACCAGTTGTTATTAAACCTGTTGATGGTGCTGGTATCGAATGTTCTGCTAAAACATAGCCTTCTGTTAAATCTACAATAGACACACCATGCCATCCTACTATAGCTACGGCATCCTGTAAAATCCATCAAGATATTCAGTGCAAAATATATTTTTGTTATCATTTCTTTAAGATGAGTTAGAGACATAATAATATTTATCAGCCAATAATACATTCTACAAAAGATATCGCTTGTGTGATATATTTTATAATCTACTGCGATATCTCCTTAGGAGATATCGCTTTACATGAATTTGATTGGTCAGTTGAAAGGAACTACTTTTTTTTTTATTTTCAAAGAACAGTTCATTTCTTATTAAAAGTAACTTTTTTTTAATTAAAAATTAACTATTGTTATTCAATTGACCTTGATGGAAACACTGGGTCAATATAAAGGACATTGCAATGGTTGAATTGCTGTAAAAAAATGATGTATCACTACGCCGTAATGTTCAGTAAAAGTGAAATCTACAGCAAAGAATTATATTTATCTATTTGTGCATGTAAGAAGGGATTGGGTGATAAATAAAATCTCCCACTCGTTATTTTTGATATCAAAAAATATCAACACTCGTTGATAAAGTAAAAAAAACTCGGCAGAGCCTTGTTTTTTGTTACTTTATCAACTTGTGTTGATATTTTTTGATATCAAAAAGACTGGTAGGAGATTCTCTATATATCAACCTTTTCTTTTGCAATTAGCAACACAAGATAACTTTGCAACTACCAGAAGGCAATTCAAGGATTTATCAGGGGAGAACACCTGATACCACTTCCCATTTGATTGAGAGGTGTCTATGCTGTAAGATAAGACATTTACCATTTATTGCTATTTATATTTATTTTCATACCCATTTCATTTCATTTCATTTCTCTATCCCCCCCCCCCCCAAAAAAAAGAAAAAAAGTAGTAACCCCCATAAATCAGTGGTATTATCTAACTTAAAATTAAAATATAACAAAACAATCATACAAAATCCAACTAATCCATTAGCAGGATACAATAGATCACATTAATTTCAATACATGTTTATGGCATATCTATTTTACCTTATCTTACAGTAGTTAACACATATGTATTGTTCTTTTGTATTAATATCAGGTAATATGTGAGTAAATTATCGGTCAATAATTACAAACCTCTTTTCCGGATACTCGGACTGACATCAGAACACGACTTGGATGAAATGATTTGTGGAATTGTTCTGCTATTTCTCCACCAGTATCTTTAGATCTTCTAACAGGTGTTGCTATATCAGCCCAGGATGCAATTGTCTGACTCTTGCAAAAAATCAAAACATTGAAATAATTCATCCCGACATAATTGTACATGTATTTCACAAATTGTCAATACAAAATTTTGGACTGAAATGGGTAAAAACCTTCAGGGTCATTTGAGTCTAATGAATGATAAAACAAAAAGTTTACACATACATTATTTCAAGGGTTGTGTTCACATATTTTACGCATATAAATTTTGCATATGGACATTGCAGTGTAAATCTAAGGCAAAGAAAACTATTTAATACAGTATGAAACTCTGCTTTGTTAATCTCATTCAAACATGTAGACCATGGATACTTTGCATGTATATTCCGGACGCGATTTTCCAAACATCTGACAAGGAATATCGGACATCAAGATATGGTGAATAATGTTCAAAATTCCAAAATATATTGACTGTACTGTCTATACTACTTATCTCGATTATCGTTGATAATAAGCTGGATTGATTAGGTAATTATGTGATCAACCTATTTATCGTGTTCTACAGTCTATACACCTACCTTGATTAACTACCTAATCTGCCTTGATTGACTGATTTAATCCAGCTTTTGACATAAAACAATTAACTATATGGATAATTTAAATATTTAATTGACAATATTTACTTTGTTTATCAAGTCAACAATTACCTGCCAATGATAATTTCCTTCAAAATCAAGTGCTGATATTCTTCCAAGACTGGTAAACGATAAAATGTCATAATCGTTATCTCCCGATAGATGGTGCCCCATTAGATGACGTATTATTCCTCTCTTCTTTGCCACTCTAGATGGTTAGAAAACACAAATAATCAATTTTTTGGGGGTGGGGAGCTGATTCAGCCAACAAGCAAAGAATGTGGGTTATACATTCATATAGAATTATATAAATTTTGGCCAAATTGACCTAATTCTATATATATACTAACTCAACTAATTGCCAAGGGAAGTCAAAGTAAGTTCTGGGGATTTTACAAATTGTTAAGACATATATCTATGTTTAGGAATTATTTTCTACAGTTTTAAACTTCATGTGTACAATAATTACACCGTAAGTACATTACATTACAAGAAGCCATATCATATAAACTACAGTAAACGTCGCCTAAGTTGGATTCGTATAAGTCAGATCTTCGCTCAACTCGGATAAAATCGTTTGGACCCTTTGATCCTGCACGTTTTTCTTATTAAATTTCTGTGCGTAAGTCGGATTTCCTAAGTCGGATCTTTGCTCAACTCGGATAATAAATGTTTGGTCCATTTGATCTAATTCCGGCTTTTTTCTATTGCCTAAGTCGGATCGGCAGTATGTTCAGAACTTGAATAAGTCAGTTTCGTTTCGATGGTCTAAAATACGGCTAGCTATTCCATGCACAGCGCCCCAAAATACTTTCCCCTATCATTTTGACTCAAATCAGCCTATTTAACGCGACGCAATAATAGAATTTTCCCGGAAAATTCGAAACTCGCTGTCTGCTGTATAAGACACTTTCTGGGAAAATTTAGGTCATTTTTCAAAGATGGCGACAAAACGGAAGTTATCTACTTGCACCAAAGCGGATGTTATCTACTCGCACATATGAACAAAAGCTTGCAAAGTGCGTTTGAATCAATTATTATCTCTTGCAGTTTATTTCTAATCGAGCTAAGACTGAATTTCGGTCTTCGGCTAACTCGGATCTTCGCTTAACTCGGATAAAATGGATCAGTCCACTGAGATCCGACTTATGCGAAGTTTACTGTATATACATATCTGTACTTTAGTTTTGTATCTAAACAGTTAAAAATCCCCCAAATGTTTTTCAATAATAATCTCCAGTAACATACGGTGTGAATAACTGTCTAGCATACTAATTATGATACCTTGTATTACAATTTGTTTCATGTAGGGTTTAATAGTTCGATTGCAATGTCATATTTAAACTTTAACTCAGTGCCACAGTGATATAATTGGTAGAAGTTGTGCAAAAAATTTAACAATCTACATTATATATATAATGTATTATATATATATAACTTACCCCTTCTTAATAATGGGCGTAAGCTTTTTATAAAAGTCTTCTTCTAGACTCCACGATCTCGTCCATACTAAACGCTTAGTGGTGCAGACAGGGATTTGTTCTAATTTTTCATAAACTGGTTTTTGTCTCCATATTTCTATATAACAGGCCGTGTGATCAGGAAATTGTCCCCATGTGATTCTTTCAGCCTCATCATCATTGTCAATATCCATAAAAATAGATTTATCTTGTAACACTTGAAACCTGGTTATAGGTCGACCTGTTAAGAGGTCTAAAACTTCGATACCATTGTGATTATGCATTACAACAGCATTTGGATTGACCACATGTTCGTGATCATTGTGTGGACGTTGTCCACCATATGCATATCCAACTATATGTTCTGGTGAAAGAACATTTTGTGACTCTTTCATTTTATCACTCTCCTCAAAATATTCTGCTTTACGCGAGTCTTTTTGAAATCTTGCTAGTGTAAATGAAGTATCTGTATAGTCACTCCAACTATGAGGCTGAAAATGAAAGAATAATATATTGCTCAATATTATAGTCTAGGAGCTAAAATATTTTGACATTAAATACCTGGAGACAATTTATTGTTATAATCTGTTATAAACTTATTACAAAACTTAGTAGCAAATTAGCATTATGTTTACTTTCTGAAATGTTTTAACATGTTTTGTTTTATTTTTGATGTCACATCAATCTGATTAAAATACAGATCTATATTTCGTTTCGTTTTTATACTTTCGATGGCCTACACTACATGAAGATCTGACCGGTTGTACTGGAAGGTCGTGTCAGTGGTCGTACAAGCGGCTTTTGAAACTATGATGTCAGAAATTTATTAATCAATCAGCATGGACCTTTCTAGTGGTTTATTCACAGTTCAGTGCATTGCACGCCAAGAACTCGTCGTAATAGACTGTTTCATTGGCTAATCCCTCACTTCAACCAAAACATTGGTAATATAACAACTTTTCCAGATCCTAGTGTAGTAAACACAAGTAAAACAAAATTTTGAATTATAAAAAACAAAAAGAAACAGGATCTGTGTTCTAATCAGATTGATGTCACATTACATTGAAGTGTGATATATTTTCTTTGAAGCAAGAATTCAGATCATGTGAAATGAGGATTGGAAAGTTAGATTATCTGCATTTTGTGGGGACTTATAAAACCCAAAGGCATATAAGAGTGGTTTATAATTGACCGATATAAATAGAACTATCACTTAGAATTGGATGATATAAATGCGTTGTAATGTATTGAAAAAAAAAGATAAAGTAAAAAAATTTGTAATCCAATTTTGAATAAAGTGTGCATATTTTTTTCTTAATGACAATGCGTATTATTATACTAATTCTTGTTAAATAAATAAAATAACAAACAAACAATTTACCATAAACTGTAATATTGTATTTTTATAAGCAGTCCATGGTGATTCACCAACATGTAATCGATTTCTTCTTAATCCTAATTTCCAGTGATGTTCCTCTGTATTGTTCTAAAATAAAACGTCTCATATATTAAATCCAAAAGAATATAAAAATTAACAGAATTAAAAATACTGGATTCAACAAACTGTTACTAGATGAATATTTTAAAAATCCAAGTTATGACTACCAGTGCCGTTGTATCTCACTAGAATGGCTTCCAGTTTGAAAGATGGTTAAAGTGAGAAATCAAAACAAAGCAAAGTATGCATGATGGAAGGTGAAAAGCATAGTATGGTAACAGGCAAGATTTGGATGAAATTGATTCCAAATTCTACCATTCCTTTGTTTTTACTTTATTTTTACAGTACCTTAGAAATAAAACTCTAAGTATAAATTATAAAGATAAACAACCTCTATATCCTGTTTTTCTTCACCAAAATCACCAGGTAAATGGTGCCATCTTACAGAACCATTTAATCCACTTAAAGCAAATGTTGAAAAGTGAGACAAACTTTCACTTTCTGTTGTATGGTTTGCATGTTCCCTGAAAAAAAAACCATGATAAAAATCATAATATGAATTTATAAAGGCATACTTAAAATCATGTGTTGAAACAACACAACAGGAGGATATCATGGTAATAGCACATGGTCACACAATTGAATCAAAATGGTGAAAGTTATTTAATTTATTATTTATTTACTGTTGAACTGAAAGGGACAAATTCCAAATCACTATCCACCAAACAATCTATATTTTCAATACTAAACTTGTCACACGACAAAATGTGCTTGCATATAGATGAACTAAAACGGTTTTAAAGCAATGTAAAAATACGTCCAAACTTAAATCTCCACATTTCTATCTAAAAATACGCTTCTGGAGAAGGATTTTAAAAAAAGCATATGTTAGCTATGTTCAACGAATAACTGCTGATATTTATCCTCCATTTTATTTCATCAATAAATCATCATTACTCTGTCAGATGAATGTATCTTTAGCATGACTGAAAAATATTTCTGGAGCTATGACATGAAATAACAAGCAGCTGCCATGCAAGACATGCCCACATTTTTCTAGAGATGGACAGAGAACAAGCTAAATATATGAATGTCTTTTTTAAAATCAAATAAAAATTGTGACCTCTAAAGGGTTCACAAGCTAAAAACATGATTTTTCATACATCAGGGTCCGATACATGCCAATATCGACAGGAACAGAGACCTTTGGGATATAAACATATATTTTAAGTTTCATCATAATCAGATAAAAATTGTGAACTCTATAGGGTCCACAAGTTAAAAACATGATTTTGCGTACTATCAGGGACCATAATGCATGAAGTTACCATCCGATACATGCCAATATCGAAAGGAACTGAATAAAAAATGAAGCGAGTATTACCCATCGGAATGGACTGGTTTCTGGTGTAATAAATGAGAAAAACTTCCACCAACAATAACTAATCCTTCATCATTCTTGGAAAGCGAATGAGATGTGACTAACACACCCATAGCTTTGATTTTATACATCTTTAAATCTTGTGCTACATCCATTACCTTTGTTTTCCATAATAATTCAAGTTTGGATGAATAACATAATACCTGCCAATCACTGGTTACTATAACAATAATCTACAAAACAAAATCACATTTAATATAATAACACCCCTCAGACTGTCCAATAGACACTTTGAGTACTCTGTCCCTTACTGAATATGTCCTATGCAAATAAACAAGGACTCTACACCCAGATCAATAATATTAATTGTCTTGTTACAGATTCAGCTAGCTTGTAGTTTTGTTTATGTTGGTGGGAAGGTTTGTCAACAAATTTATATTTTTTTAAGGCTCACCCAATAACTTAAATTAAACTAAAACTGTCTAAAACATAACATTTTGAAAGGCATAACATTTTTGACAGCTGTGCCCCAGATACTATTTTAATATAAGTATAAATACTCTTTTGGTTCAGCACTGTCCGACATTCTGCAAAGTCCACTGAATGGCTTTATTAAAAGAATATATAAATAATGAAACAATTGTTAAAACATTGTTCATATTATATCAAAAAATTCTAATCTTCATATTGTATTGTATGTTGCCAATTATTATCTGCCATTAAAACAGTTCATGTAAATAACATGTTTAATACTTACTTGTTTTCGTATTTGCATCATAGATAAATAAGGTGTTGTAAAACCGGTTGTCATAACAACAGGTTGACTAGATTTAGAATGATGACTTGATATAGGTAATTTTACTCTATGTTTAATTTGTACATGAGGCAGAACTTGAGCTGTGGAACTTTTATTATCTGGAAGTGCCATGATGCTTAATTTGAGATCATTTGTTATCATAACAATTTCATTGACACCGTCACCTTCTAAATCTGTAATTATTGGTACGGGTAAGGAATCCTCTTCAGTTGGAAAACGTCCATTCGCAAAATGCTGTGTTTCTACTCGTTTTCGCCAGACAGGTTTTAAATTATATGAATCACTTGCTCTAAATAAGTAAGCAATTACACCACACAAACATACAAAGAAAATATGGTTCACTGATATTTTTCTCACTTGAGATCTTACAATCTCCATTTTAAATGCAGTAATTAAACTTTATTAAACATCAGTCTTTTTAGAGTCAAGTTCTCATTTTAAAAATTATTTGTTCTATTTCTTGATACCCATCATAAATTTCATACCTGAAAAACATGAAAAAGACATGTAAATAGTAATTTCTCAATCAATATGAAATATTAATCTAAAACAAAAGGAACCAGCCAATTACAACTGATACATTCTTCGAGGTTTAGCTTCAAATGAAAAATTCTGAACACATATCATCAATCACTGTTTTGTTTGGAAATAACTAATTCTGTTACAAATAGTGAAAAGTTGACCACTGAAATAGTTACTGAACAGTTTTTCCACATTTTTGAGGTGATGTTTAATCACGTGCATGTTCTAATTCTGGTTAGGCTGCTATTTTAAAAATGAAAGAAACATCACGTAGCCATTGGATTTGATCAAATTCTGAACTTATGTGATAAGTTTCACCTTAATTTCAATAGAGAGTTGGATGGCTGAATGGTTAGCATGTGCACGCTGTATCATAAAGTCTGTCATTGAGTCAACTGGCGTGGTTTCGATTCCTGGGTTGTATGTGACAAGGAGTGGGGTCACCTGTCCAACCTTGTGGGTTTTCTCCGGGTCTTCCGGTTTTCTCCCACTGCTAAAGACCCCTACGCGCAAGTGAATTATTGAATAAAATTGAACCATGTGTTAGTCCCAAAATGACCTAGTTTGTGTGAGTGGATGTTAAACTCTCTCTCTCTTTCTCTCTCTCTCTCTCTTTTTATATTTCAATAACAATTAGGTTATTATATGTTAAGCTATTGGAAATTAAGGGAGTTATAGGACATTGCAGCACAAATCAGAAATTTCCTTGATTCTGATTGGTCGAAAAGTGTGATCGAATGGACGATAAACCCCCTTTTTCATTTTTGTGCTCAATTATCTTTCTCAACTCAAATCTTTATTGACAAATATCTTCAAGAAATTCTGCACACATGACTATTCACACTATTTTCAAACACCATCTTTTATGAAAATACATTTCTGAAATACATAAAACAGTAGAAAATCAGTCATAAATAAATTAAAACCGTTTTTAAGTATCATAAATCATTTGTAAGAAGGCAGTGACAGTATGGGCAATTTTGTTTTCTTTTTTGGTAGCTAGACTAGCTTCACTCACCAATTTTATGGACTTAATCAGGTGGAATTTTTAAATCACACTTTGAACAAATTCGGACTAGCATGATCTGCTTAATAATAAGTCATTGGTCACAAGAAATCAGTTGAAAATATAATGAGGGAGTTGAAAATAGTACCTAAAATAGGCCTAATAAACAGGAATTCTATGTCAAAATTGAACTGTTGTTGACAACATGTCAGAACAGTATACATAGCAACCGCTAGAATCCCAGACATCACACAGTTTTATAGGGTATTTTTGAGGATGTAAGCATAGAAGGCAATTGTCTGAACAAGAAGTAGATACAAAATAGTAATAACAGTCTGCAAATAAAATAATAAAGCCTGAAAACTTACCGATCTTATTATGAAACTCCCGAAGCAAACTCATCTTTGTTGCCAAGAGTCACTTCTCTTTAGTCTCAGTTAACATGTCGGAACTATTTCAATCATTTCATGTTCTTTTACAAATCTCCAAACGTTAAAAATATTTTTTGCTGATATCTGAATAACATTTTCTTTCATAATTAATTTACCAATGACGCTCGAGACTCCAAGCTTTTTAAATTTGCAGGAAAGCAAGGACAACCTAAATCTATTGAGAACGCATAGCCAAATAACAACTTTTTAAAATGAGTGTAAAAATGTTCCGGAGAAAATCCCTAAATATTTGAGCTACAATATTGATAAACATTGTATGCTTGAATTATCCATTAGAACAACTCAACGCTATTCAAACATGGTTAAATGATGGACAATAAACCCCCTCTAAATACGAGCAGGAAGTGTTTATCTAAGTAACTGTTTTGTAATCAAATGATTACGACGGAAGACATTAGTAGTGGAACTGTTTTTAGTATGCCATAATCTAGCAAAATTGTAATCTGGCATTCCGGTAGATCATATTAGGGCATAAATATTTTTATGGGGTAGCGGGTAGCCTGATTTACCAAATCTACCCAAAAATTTAAACTCATATCACAATAATTTATATATCGATAACAATAATTTATATCGATAATCGATAGACTATTTGATAATATTCTTTATGCCAAATTGTCATTTTTAATTTAAAATCGTAACGTGTCAAAATGCCCCACAAAATGACATTTTCAAGCAAGTTTGGAAGTGGTAACCAAGGATCATATAACTCCACCATTATTTCAACATATATCACAATCATTTATATCATTTTTTATAATGCCACCATTCCTTTATCTAAATATGGCATTTGTATATACCCATATCTTCCAATTTTAAAGTAGCTAAGTCTCTAACTCAATATCATCCAAAGTCATACACGTTGAAAATAAGAATTATTTGTCAATTCAAATCAACATTGATGTTGTGATCTTACCAGGAAAAGACAGGCTTCTGATATCCAATATTTAAGACAGAATAAACATTTTACCATTGGTACACGAATCATGTACCATAGTGCGTTTTAGCATCATTTGCAACAAGTGACCAGAAAGAACGAGGCTAGACATATTCAACTGGAGAACCTGCTCAATAGACTGGAATAACCAGATGCCTGGTTTGAAATTAAGAGTCAAAACGGAAACAATTGAATGTAAATCAGTTTATATACAATCAGATTACATTATTATATGCGTTGTGACCCATTTGGGTCAATTTCTAGGTCCCAAATATTAGCGATTTAGCTCCTTTAAATTTAGATTTATTTGGACACAAAATCAATATGACTTCAAATTAAAAATGACAATTTGAATTTGGCATAAAGAATGGTTTGGTACGGGAACCCTATTGGTAAATTATCAAAAATTGATACGTAAATTACTCTGATATGAATTGAAATAATGGTGGATTTTAGTAGATTTAGGTAAATCGTGCTACCATAGGCCTATTTATTAATGCACGCTGCCCCGGGGTGTATCAAATAATCGAGAACTAAACTTAGTAAATAAGAATTAGAAAGTGTTCAACACATTGCATTGCTAGAATGATAGTCATACTTTCAAAACCAACATTTTGTTCGTAATGCCTGGTGTTTACGGGTTTAAAAGAATGTCTACCATACTGAGAGTAAATTCAATTTACTGAAACTGCACTAGTTTAATGAGTTATGTTAAAAAATACAATTTTAACAAAAAATTGTTTACATTCGCATTTACGTTCATGGGAGCAGCCATCTTGTAAGGGACTTAACTATGACAAGTGAGTAGTCTTGTTTGTCCAAAACCAAAAAAAAAGGAAACCCAATTACCCCTAAGTACCACTAGAATTTCCAGTCAACAAACTCGGTCGATGGTTGGGCTAAAATTTGGGAATAGTTTGTTTGACTGAAATAAAAAACGCACTAACTCAAATATGATTACATCGTTTTTTGTCTATTTTGATTATTTTCCCCCAAGTTCAAATCTGACAGTTGAAGTCACAATTTTATTGAGATTTTCCTTCCAATAGCAATACCCTAAACAACGTGTTGACCTCTCTTTGCGAGTAAGGTCGTCATCTAGGGTTAAGGGTCAACGACTGACGTCATCAACTGAAAACAATGGCCGTACTAATATAAACAACTTGAATTAAGTCTGTGTCCGATGCATAAAACTGATGACAGCATAGTATCTAGTCGCTTCAGTATTTGACATTTTCATGTGGCCTCGCCCAGTCGATAAAATCAATCAGTTAGTTCAGTCGAATAATCCAGTCGAATAAACCAGTCGAAAAGTTCAGTCGAATACTTCAGTCGAATAATTCAGTCGAATAAACAAGTCGCTCAATATTAAGCAGCGGTGGCAGCGGGCTAAGATAATATAGTAGCAAATCATGCTCGTAGCCATAGCTGAAGGAGCCGGGGGCATGGGGTAGGGACCGGGGGGCTTCCCAACTAATTTCAAGAAATGAAAAGAAATGAAATGGGGGTTCAACGTCCTTCTGTTCTGCTTGGAACTGGGCTAATGAAGACGGGCAGACGCCATACACTGTGCGATGAGGGAAATTTTGCCCGGACAGCGGCACTACGGCCTACTCTTATATCGAATTCCATCTGTCAAAGGGATCTTTTACGTCCACTCCAATGTAGACACGGGACCTCGGTTTTTCGTCCCATCCGAAAGACTAGACAGCTGTCCTTGTCCGCCTCGAAAAGAATAGAGTCCCTATATATGATATAAACGAAGAAAGGGGATGGGGTGGGGCGGGGGTGGGGGGGGATGAGGTATTTGACATTTTCATGTGGCCTCGTCCAGTCGATAAAACGTACCAGTCAGTTAGTTCAGTCGAATAATCCAGTCGAATAAACCAGTCGAATAATTCAGTCGAAAAGTTCAGTCGAATAAACCAGTCGAATAGTTCAGTCGAATAATCCAGTCGAATAATTCAGTCGAATAAACAAGTCGCTCAATATTAAGCAGCGGTGGCAGCGGGCTAAGATAATATAGTAGCAAATCATGCTCGTAGCCATAGCTGAAGGAGCCGGGGGCATGGGGTAGTGACCGGGGGGCTTCCCAACTAGTTTCAAGAAATGAAAAGAAATGAAATGGGGTTTTAACGTCCTACTGTTCTGCTTGGAACTGGGCTAATGAAGACGGGCAGACGCCATACACTGTGCGATGAGGGAAATTTTGCCCGGACAGCGGCACTACGGCCTACTCTTATATCGAATTCCATCTGTCAAAGGGATCTTTTACGTCCACTCCAATGTAGACACGGGACCTCGGTTTTTCGTCTCATCCGAAAGACTAGACAGCTGTCCTTGTCCGCCTCGAAAAGAATAGAGTCCCTATATATGATATAAACGAAGAAACGGATGGGGTGGGGCGGGGGTGGGGGGGATGAGGTATTTGACATTTTCATGTGGCCTCGTCCAGTCGATAAAATCAGTCAGTTAGTTCAGTCGAATAATCCAGTCGAATAAACCAGTCGAATAATTCAGTCGAAAAGTTCAGTCGAATAAACCAGTCGAATAGTTCAGTCGAATAATCCAGTCGAATAATTCAGTCGAATAAACAAGTCGCTCAATATTAAGCAGCGGTGGCAGCGGGCTAAGATAATATAGTAGCAAAGCATGCTCGTAGCCATAGCTGAAGGAGCCGGGGGCATGGGGTAGGGACCGGGGGGCTTCCCAACTAGTTTCAAGAAATGAAAAGAAATGAAATGGGGTTTAACGTCCTTCTGTTCTGCTTGGAACTGGGCTAATGAAGACGGGCAGACGCCATACACTGTGCGATGAGGGAAATTTTGCCCGGACAGCGGCACTACGGCCTACTCTTATATCGAATTCCATCTGTCAAAGGGATCTTTTACGTCCACTCCAATGTAGACACGGGACCTCGGTTTTTCGTCCCATCCGAAAGACTAGACAGCTGTCCTTGTCCGCCTCGAAAAGAATAGAGTCCCTATATATGATATAAACGAAGAAAGGGGATGGGGTGGGGCGGGGGTGGGGGTGGGATGAGGTATTTGACATTTTCATGTGGCCTCGTCCAGTCGATAAAACCAGTCAGTTAGTTCAGTCGAATAATCCAGTCGAATAAACCAGTCGAATAATTCAGTCGAAAAGTTCAGTCGAATAAACCAGTCGAATAGTTCAGTCGAATAATTCAGTCGAATAATCCAGTCGAATAATTCAGTCGAATAAACAAGTCGCTCAATATTAAGCAGCGGTGGCAGCGGGCTAAGATAATATAGTAGCAAATCATGCTCGTAGCCATAGCTGAAGGAGCCGGGGGCATGGGGTAGGGACCGGGGGGCTTCCCAACTAGTTTCAAGAAATGAAAAGAAATGAAATGGGGTTTAACGTCCTTCTGTTCTGCTTGGAACTGGGCTAATGAAGACGGGCAGACGCCATACACTGTGCGATGAGGGAAATTTTGCCCGGACAGCGGCACTACGGCCTACTCTTATATCGAATTCCATCTGTCAAAGGGATCTTTTACGTCCACTCCAATGTAGACACGGGACCTCGGTTTTTCGTCCCATCCGAAAGACTAGACAGCTGTCCTTGTCCGCCTCGAAAAGAATAGAGTCCCTATATATGATATGAACGAAGAAAGGGGGTGGGGTGGGGTGGGGGGGGATGAGGTATTTGACATTTTCATGTGGCCTCGTCCAGTCGATAAAACCAGTCAGTTAGTTCAGTCGAATAATCCAGTCGAATAAACCAGTCGAATAATTCAGTCGAAAAGTTCAGTCGAATAAACCAGTCGAATAGTTCAGTCGAATAATTCAGTCGAATAATCCAGTCGAATAATTCAGTCGAATAAACAAGTCGCTCAATATTAAGCAGCGGTGGCAGCGGGCTAAGATAATATAGTAGCAAATCATGCTCGTAGCCATAGCTGAAGGAGCCGGGGGCATGGGGTAGGGACCGGGGGGCTTCCCAACTAGTTTCAAGAAATGAAAAGAAATGAAATGGGGTTTAACGTCCTTCTGTTCTGCTTGGAACTGGGCTAATGAAGACGGGCAGACGCCATACACTGTGCGATGAGGGAAATTTTGCCCGGACAGCGGCACTACGGCCTACTCTTATATCGAATTCCATCTGTCAAAGGGATCTTTTACGTCCACTCCAATGTAGACACGGGACCTCGGTTTTTCGTCCCATCCGAAAGACTAGACAGCTGTCCTTGTCCGCCTCGAAAAGAATAGAGTCCCTATATATGATATGAACGAAGAAAGGGGGTGGGGTGGGGTGGGGGGGGGGATGAGGTATTTGACATTTTCATGTGGCCTCGTCCAGTCGATAAAACCAGTCAGTTAGTTCAGTCGAATAATCCAGTCGAATAAACCAGTCGAATAATTCAGTCGAAAAGTTCAGTCGAATAAACCAGTCGAATAGTTCAGTCGAATAATTCAGTCGAATAATCCAGTCGAATAATTCAGTCGAATAAACAAGTCGCTCAATATTAAGCAGCGGTGGCAGCGGGCTAAGATAATATAGTAGCAAATCATGCTCGTAGCCATAGCTGAAGGAGCCGGGGGCATGGGGTAGGGACCGGGGGGCTTCCCAACTAGTTTCAAGAAATGAAAAGAAATGAAATGGGGTTTAACGTCCTTCTGTTCTGCTTGGAACTGGGCTAATGAAGACGGGCAGACGCCATACACTGTGCGATGAGGGAAATTTTGCCCGGACAGCGGCACTACGGCCTACTCTTATATCGAATTCCATCTGTCAAAGGGATCTTTTACGTCCACTCCAATGTAGACACGGGACCTCGGTTTTTCGTCCCATCCGAAAGACTAGACAGCTGTCCTTGTCCGCCTCGAAAAGAATAGAGTCCCTATATATGATATAAACGAAGAAAGGGGATGGGGTGGGGCGGGGGTGGGGGGGATGAGGTATTTGACATTTTCATGTGGCCTCGTCCAGTCGATAAAACCAGTCAGTTAGTTCAGTCGAATAATCCAGTCGAATAAACCAGTCGAATAATTCAGTCGAAAAGTTCAGTCGAATAAACCAGTCGAATAGTTCAGTCGAATAATCCAGTCGAATAATTCAGTCGAATAAACAAGTCGCTCAATATTAAGCAGCGGTGGCAGCGGGCTAAGATAATATAGTAGCAAATCATGCTCGTAGCCATAGCTGAAGGAGCCGGGGGCATGGGGTAGGGACCGGGGGGCTTCCCAACTAGTTTCAAGAAATGAAAAGAAATGAAATGGGGTTTAACGTCCTTCTGTTCTGCTTGGAACTGGGCTAATGAAGACGGGCAGACGCCATACACTGTGCGATGAGGGAAATTTTGCCCGGACAGCGGCACTACGGCCTACTCTTATATCGAATTCCATCTGTCAAAGGGATCTTTTACGTCCACTCCAATGTAGACACGGGACCTCGGTTTTTCGTCCCATCCGAAAGACTAGACAGCTGTCCTTGTCCGCCTCGAAAAGAATAGAGTCCCTATATATGATATAAACGAAGAAAGGGGATGGGGTGGGGCGGGGGTGGGGGGGGGTGAGGTATTTGACATTTTCATGTGGCCTCGTCCAGTCGATAAAACCAGTCAGTTAGTTCAGTCGAATAATCCAGTCGAATAATTCAGTCGAAAAGTTCAGTCGAATAAACCAGTCGAATAGTTCAGTCGAATAATCCAGTCGAATAATTCAGTCGAATAAACAAGTCGCTCAATATTAAGCAGCGGTGGCAGCGGGCTAAGATAATATAGTAGCAAATCATGCTCGTAGCCATAGCTGAAGGAGCCGGGGGCATGGGGTAGGGACCGGGGGGCTTCC